GTCCATGGAATCGACATCGACAGAGACCTTGGCGCGGACTTGATCGAGGAGAGTCGACATAGACGCGGCCGGGCCTGAAAGGAATTTGTAGTGTGTGTGTGTGCCTCGAGGCGTTCGACAAACCACGACAGCTTCCGGATCGGGCTGTGTTTTCGTCGAGGGACAATGCAATCACTCGGCCCCACTCGGGCGCCGGTGGCCCCGTCCGCTGGCGCTGACCGCCAGCTGAGCCCGCTCGAGCCAAGCTCGAGCCTCGGGCTGACGCAGCGAACGACGTATGTCTCCCAGCGTCGGAGGGTGAGCCATCGGCGGGCTGCGGAGCGTCAAAGTGGCGTCAGCGGCCAAGTACGTCATCATTGACGCATGCTCGACGTTACTCGCCGTCGATCATGCCCTCGCTCACACTGCTCGACAAATTCCGTGCGCGGTCACTTGCCGACAATATCCCCCACATCCTCTTTCCCTCGCCTCTCTCCTCCTCTCCGCGTCCTCATGTGAAGCCATGTCCGACGGAAGAGTCCCGTCTACATCGCCCGCCGCTACCGACCACCGCCCACCCTCTTCTACCTTCACTGCCGGAGTCGGTCCACCGTTACGCGCCCTCGATGAGCAAGTCCTCGCTACTCACCTTTGGCCGCCTTCCGACCATAACCCCTCCGCGCCGCATCCTGCTGGTCAGTAATCAGTCTCTTTCACTAGTATATCTGTACTGAATGCATTCAGGCGACACGATAGGACTCGTGCTCGATACCGTGGTCGCCCAAGATGGCCATGGTCTGACGTCTCAAGCACTAGAGACCCATCCGTCGCCTACGCGACAGGTTCCCATTTCATTCGCTAGCACCCTCAGTCGAGATGCTCTCTTGTCCTATGCCTATCAACTCTACCGCAGCGCTCAGCTTCCCCATCTAGGCCTCACAGCGATACCTCTCGTCATCGCCACCCCTGCACCGACCTCACCAGAGCAAATCTACAGACTTCGACTGCTACCTCTTCTCACCACGCTGTGCTCGCTACATCCTGGAGATATTCGCATCCTGCTCCTCTTGGCCTGCACATATCACTCCCTCGGTGACTATAATATGAGTCTCAGCACCAGCCAGGAAATGCTACGTATCGACCCCGCCTCTGTAAAGTGGCCCCATCCTAAAAGTCTAAACGGTCACCCGATTGACATATCGTACCCTCACTTAGGTCGAAGCGATGAATAATATCGGAGTGACCTTGAAGGCTCTCGGTCGCAATGACCAGGCCTATGAATGGTGGTGGAAAGCCATCCAGGCCTGTCCCACCTACTGGGACGCGACTGTACGTCAGGAAAGATGACGCGCGCGAACCACTTTCTCACTCTCATCACCAGGAGAATATTCTAGGTTTGCTTTTCACACATGCCCAGAGTGCTCGAGGCAACAGTCAGAGCTCTATGCTATACGCTCGAGCTCTGGATGCCTGCGTGTTTGTCCAGCGCAAAATTATCACCAGCGACGGTCGTCTCATCCTGCCTGTCCCTCCACATGACTTGCCCAGACTTCAAAAGCTCCTTCTGACAAGCGCAACAATCCAGGGGATGAGCTCACCGGATTCTATGGCGGTTGTTTCTGCGTATTTCCAATCCTTGGAGCTCATGATATCACCTCCTGCGGCGTTCACATCTGGCGGAGGTTACACAGCTCGGGAGCTCATCTTGGCGGGCTTTCTTGCCACGTACATCCTCCAGCTACCCCCCAGCAACGTCCTTCCGCCCGAACTATCACAGAGTGTGTATCTCCCCAGAGACATCACTAGTTCTGCTCTCCTGACATCCGGAATCAACCTCCTTGACGCCGTTAGGGCCTCGGGCGATCGTATTCTCGCGGCCATCCTGCGACTGGGGGGCAGTGCATTACCATTCCTCCTCTTGCTGCCCGAGCAAGTTTCCCATCTACCTGCCCTGTTATTTCCTGTGTCCTCCGGAGCTCTTCCTGCGATCTGCACCGAGACAGATGAAGATGGCCGCCCGAAGCCAGCCTCGGACGCTGTCCGTCAGGAGGCAAACGTGATGACCGGTACGATACTGCTGGCACTCGCCAAGCGATACCAGGATCTTGCCTCTAACAAAGTGTCTCTCCCCGGCTTCAGTGCTGCCTTGAACGTCAACCATTCGCTTTCGATCATGCTCTACTACCTAGCTCTGTCGTTATTCCCGTCGCCGTCCACCTACAACAACATGGGCATCGTGCTGTCGAGCATGTCCGCTACCATTCCGCACGTTGGCTCGCTGGGGGACGCTCCGGTCCTCACAGGGTCGGTATTGGCACGCGTATATTATACCACAGGGCTGCAGATGGATCCGAACAATCCTCACCTCCTAACCAACCTTGGTTCACTGTTCAAAGACCAGGGCAACCTTGAAGAGGCGATACAGTGAGCAAAGAAAAACTAAATGCATGTGACTATGTACAGAACCTCACGACATGATTTTTTAGACTGTACGCCAAGGCAATCGCCGTCAAGCCCGACTTTGATGTTGCACTAGCCAACATGGGCAATGCGATCAAGGACGTGGTACGAATGCATGCCTTTTCCGCTTTCAACTCATCGTCTGACGACGGGGCAGGGTCGCGGATGGGAGGCGCTGGAATACTATCGTCGTGCAGTGGAGATCAATCCTGACCTGCCTGAAGCTGTGTGCGGTCTCATGAACTCCATGGCCTCCGTCTGCGACTGGCGGGGGCGCAGCTGCTTCACGGATGAGTACGGCGTGGACGACCAGGGCCACCTCCTGGCGCCGACGTCCGCCGCGCACGTCCCGCGCCCCGGGCTCATGCACAAGATAGTCGACATGTGCGAGCGACAGCTGCGTCTGGCCTACGACGAGAACGTGCACGCGATGAGCACCATGTGGGGGCTCGGCGAGTGGCTGCGCGCCGTCGAGGCCGCGTTCGGCCGGGCGCTGCGCGAGCACGAACGCGCGACCTGGGTGACGAGGATCAACCAGTTCTACAAGCCCCTCGACAGAATGGAGCGGCACGTCAACGAGGGCGGCTTCCTCATCCGCGTCCTCAACTGGCTGCAGCCGCGGCTCCAGCGGCAGTGGTACGTCAGGCTCTACGGCAAGGCGCTCAGGGCGGACCAGGAGGGTACGCTCGACCCGCTGGCCCACAAAGACGAGTTTGTGCGGCCCTTGTTGCCGCGCACGATGTCGCCGCCTGTTGTGCCGTCCTTGTTGCCTTTCAACACGGTGAGTTCGGTGCCCTTCGGCCGCGTGGCGCTTGCTCAGGCCGCTATTCGCAGTTTGTTTACCCACTGTCTGCGCGTATGATCCGGCTTATACCACATCGGAATGCTCTGCGCATCTCGTTCGCCGCGCTTTCACAGCCTTGGCTGCCCCCGCACGTCTATCCGCCGCCGCCGCCGCCAAAGGACGGCGTGCTGAATATCGGATATGTCTCGAACGACGTCAAGTGCGTCTTTTGCCTCTCCCGATGTTCTTGCTGGTGCAGCCGTCCTGACCTCGTCGTGCTCAGCAACCACCCGCTGTCGCACCTCATGCAGTCCGTGTTCGGCCTGCACGACCGCTCGCGGTTCAGGGTGTTCATGTACACGTCGAGCCCGTGGGACGGGACGTCCTACCGGCCCAAGATTTCCGGTACTGTCGAGGTGTTCGTCGACGCGTCGACGTGGTCGAGCGAGCAGATCGTCAAGCACGTCACGGACCACAGGATCCACGTCTGTCAGTGCCCCCTTTTTCGCACAGGATTCAACAGGAAAAATTTTGACGGGTCTCTCGCAGTGATCAACCTGGGTGGGTACACGAAGGGCGCGAGGAACGACGTGTTCGCTGCGCGGCCGTGCCCCTGTGCAGATACAACTTATCGGCTACGCTGGGACGCTCGGTGCAGGTGTGTGTGTGGACCTTTGAGCTGCTGCACGCGTTGGTCCTGACTGAGTTCGTTGGCAGGCTGGTGCGACTACCTGGTGTGCGACCCCATCTCTGCGCCAAAGGAGCTGTGCGCGGCCGAGGTATGGCGGAAGACGAAGAAGGAGGGCGCCAGGCACGACGACCTCCTGCTCAACCTGGACGCAGACCCTGACCCCGAGGATCCGCACGCAGAATGGGTGTAGTGAGTCTGCAGAGTGGTTTGTGCGCAGTTGCGCAGTTCTGACCTGATGCTTCTCTTCCGCGTCTGGCGCAGCTCGGAGAAGTTCATCTACATGCCGGTGCGTAGCCGACCGAGTCTGCGGGATGCGCAGCGGGTCTGACGCCACGCGCAGCATACGTTCATGGTCACGGACCACAAACAGTCGTTCAGGACCGACGAGAACTTGTCGCTCGAAGAGCGGCTGCAGACGCCTGCCGATACCCTCTGGCGGAACGAGGAGCTGCGGCGGCAGGAGATGCGGCAGACGATTTTCCCCGACCTCCCGCAGTAAGTGGACGACCCTCCTCGCCCTCGACGGCTGTTGATCCTACGTCCCCCCAGCACAGTGGTCATCTTTGCCAATTTCAACCAGGTAGGTGTGATTCGAGATGCTTTTTTGTGGGGAACTATAGCTGACCCGGCCGTTGCAGCTGTACAAGGTGAGTCAACGTGCTGAGTCTGCCAGGCCATCGTCCTTTTGCGGTAACTGTACCGCGCTCTCTAGATCGATCCGGTGAGTCACGCTTTAAACTGTAATCATATCTGGGGGCTAAATGCGATTGGATAGGGTGTTTTTGCCGCGTGGCTGCGGATCCTCGTGAGGGTGCCGAACAGCATCCTGTGGCTGCTACGGTTTCCCGCTCAAGGAGAAGAGCACCTGCTGCGCCAGGCTCAGATGTGGGCTGGTAACGAAGTGGCCTCACGCGTAAAGTTCACGGACGTCGCACGAAAGCACGTTCATGTTCATCGCGGCCGGGTGGCAGACTTGTTCCTAGATACTATGGAGGTGTGTATACAGTTCTCCTCGGTGTTTAGCTCCACGTCCTCACATTTGGCCAGTGCAACGCTCATACCATCGCGGGAGAGTAAGCGCAATCACTTCAATGGTGCGTCTCTGGTGTAGCTCACGCCCCTCTCTTCTCGTAGCATTCTCTGGCCTGGCACACCGCTCATCACGTTCCCGAAACACCCTCACAAGATGTGCTCCCGCGTGGCGGCGAGCATGGCCAACGCCACGGGCTTCGGCGACGAGATGGTCGTCGACAGCCTGGAGGCATACGAAAACCGCGCGGTGGCGCTCGCCAACAGCATCTCATACGTCCCGGAAACAGAGCCAGGAGGCACAACCGTCCTGCGGGGGCAGGGCGAGCTCATCAGACTCCGCCGGAACCTCTTTCTGAATCGTGACAGGATGCCGCTCTTCGACACGGCCCGCTGGACGCGCAACATCGAGAAGGCGTACTGGGAGGCGTGGCGCCGGTGGGTGGAGGGGACGCAGTTCGAGCTGTCGGACGAATGGGAGGCGTGCAAGGGCCCCGAAAAAGAAAGCGGGTGCATCTGGGTGCAGGACGACGATCCCGCAGAGGTTGTCCGCTACGACTGATTAGTGCTATCGCTCTTCTTCTGATTACCGCTTGTCGTCGCTCTCGTCGTTGACTGTTGTCGGGCACAGTACCTGCATGGATGTATAAAGTATCTAGTACACTAGTAATTTGCCTTGTCAGAAGACAGCGCGGGCTCCACGACTTTCGTTTATACGGATTGGTAGGCACCTGGCGCGGCCTGCTGGTTTGCTGAAGGAGGGGCAGTTGGCTTTTGGGGAGGGGCAGCTGCTCTTGGCGTCGGCGTGGGCTCGGGATCGTCCAAGGACTGATAACCGCCGCCACTGCCGCCAGAGGTGAAGCCTCCGGGCATGGACCACACTGGAAGAGTAATCGTTAGTTGATGCTAGAATAGGAGAGGTAGGGACCTTCACCTGTGGCACCCGACAGATCGTTGCCGCGAACACCGAGACCAGAGAACTGCGCGCCACGTTGACGCAGAGAGGACGCGAAGGCGAAGGCGGTGGGGACCTGTGCGGGGTGCGGTCAGTGCGGGCGGCGGCTTCGCAGGGCGCACGGCAGTGACGCGCACCTTGAGTATCAGGATCAGGATGGTAACGATGCGCATGAGCCAGTGCTGTTCGTTGCGAGCGAGCCAGACGATGTCGTAGATGCCCGACGCGGCGACGAGTCCGGTGAACTGCGGCGGGGACGTGTCAGCGCAGTCGCGCAGGGTGAGTGACGGGGGGTTTGACACGTACGAGCTGCAGGGACTGGATCGCTTCTGAGCTCTCCTGCGCGATGTGGCCGAAGAGGAAGATGGGCAGGTTGTACACCGGCGCGACGAACGCGCTCGTCGTGAACGAGAGGACCTGTGACGTGCCGGCTAGTGAGCATACGCGGCGTGTGTATCACGCTTCAGATGGGCCGCGCGCACCGTGCCAAGGAGAACGAGCTTCGACGGGTCGAGGGCCTGAATGAAGTCGGCCATGGTTGTTGTTCTACGACGTCGTGCGCGGTGAGCAGCAAGTTCGGGGTGCTGTCGAAGCGAATGTTGGGAACTGCGCAGTGGTGGTGAGTCGTGACCGCCACGCTCAAGGAACGTGGGGAACGGCGCCTACCGCGTTCCATCTGCCGTCATGTCTAGCGCCACCTTCGACACCGTCTGGCCCGCAGATTCCACAGAATTTTGTCCTCATCCAGCTGCAGCGAACCTGTTTGTGTGCGGGACGTACAAGCTAGAGCAGAACGAGGTTACCGGGGATGCGGACGAGGCGGGGGGTGCTTCGCGCGCACCTCAGGTCCGACGAGGAAAGTGCATGCTTTTCGCTGTGGACGATCAAAACGACATGTACGGCTCCACCCAAATATGAAAGGTCTCACGGACTAAGTTGTAGCCAGCGTAGCTCAGAGATAGACTGTGTTTCGTTACCTGCCATCCTTGACATGAAGTGGTATGCTCTTCGCAAATGAGCGCGAGACGCGTCAAATATCCATTCTTTGCAGGTGCCACAGAATGCCAGACGTGCCTCCTTTGCTGGGCATAGCCGACTCAGAGGGTGGCCTAACCCTCTGTGAATTGGATTTACAACAAGTAAGTATGATGAGATCGCATATTTATCCATGCTAACTGTGAATCTAGAAAACTCTTCATAGGCTTGAACGCGTTGAGTGCACAACTTCCGATGTGCTTTGTCTGTCTCTCGACTGGTCAAACAGAAGAGGTCCCACAAGGTACCCGACATGCTTAATTCATTCCCTCTCAGCTCTCACTATGGCTTCACACAGCACCTACGGAGACCTCGTTGTATCGCTCTCCAACGGATCCCTCGTTCTATTGAAGCCTACCGATGGTGCCAGACTATCTGTAGTGGAATCATGGCATGCACATGACCATGAGCCGTGGATAGCAGCCTGGAACTACTGGGACACAAACATCATATACTCGGGTTTGTCTTGTTTCATGCGTATATGTGGGTTGCCCTGAGGCCTGACAGCGTTTTATAGGCGGAGATGACCTCACGATGAAGGGCTGGGACGTCCGACAGAGCTTTGACCTCCCAACATTCACCAACAAGCGGTACGCTGCACTTCGGTTTACAATTCTCCATGGCTTTATAGTTAACTCATTTACAGCTTCGATGCAGGGGTCACCACGATACAGAGTCATCCCTATGTGGAACACCTCATATCAGTCGGCAGGTAAAACCATCGTAATAAATCTTTCAAGCATGCTCCTCACTCCGTTCTCCCCAAGCTACAACGACACAGTGCAGCTTTTCGACACCCGCAAACCGCTAGTTCCTCTCATGACGATCAACGTCGGCGGCGGAGCCTGGAGAGTCAAGTGGCACCCTTCGCCAGAGCGGAAGGACGACTTGCTCGTTGCCTCCATGCACGACGGCTGCAAAGTCGTGCGCTTCTCTATGAGCGGTGGCGGCGACGACTTTCATAGTGTAATCGGTGGAGGCGATGTCGTCCGTCGCTTCGACGAGCACGAGTCAATGGCCTACGGCGCAGACTGGTGTTATGCGCCGGCACGAGGGGATAGTCTCATTGCAAGCTGCTCGTTCTATGACCATCAACTGTGTCTCTGGAAAGGTTAAAGCAGAATTCTGGGGATGTGTGAAGCAAGCCAATGTATGATATAGGTGTCTAGATGGTATACGGTGTACGCGGCGGCGGAGAGTCGCTTGTATCCTGCCTTTTCTTCTTCCAAAAGCCTGCGTTCGATCCATTCATTACGAATGTGAGTGCCCAGCGAGGAAGCCCCCGGAGCGAGGAAGTGTCGTGGACGAACTTCGTGAGCAGTGTAGCTAAGGAGGCGACAAATACGAGTCTAGCGCAAAGAGTTAGGGCGTTCACTCAATAAAGGTGCGGATACGAACCTCTCCAAGAGCTGTACCCGTAGTCCTGACCTCAAGAAAGCTTCGGGCAAGCACGCTCTGATGGCCTTGGGGAGGACGTACAGCGCCATCTCGCCTCTCCGTCTTCCCTGCTCGATCCAAATACTGCCGCCACACACGAGGGTGCCGAGGAATGCGCACCCGTGGGGCCCATCCCAGAAGTCGTGCGAGATCCACGGGAAGAGGCGGGCCAGTAGCAGCGTGCGGGTGAGGCACACCGCGACCCAGATGGACGAGACGAAGCTAGAGAGGAATGTCGCGCTCCGGGTGACGGAGAGAAGGGTATTCATGATATTGTGTACCCGGGTGAGCTTGCGCGGGCGGTAGAGGAGAATGGGGAGAACATGTACCTGTGCAGAATAGCAGTGAGAGAGAGCGTCAGCTGTGGATGTTCAATCTCCTTACCGGCAGGTAAATAAGCATTGCTTCGGCGAAAGCTTTTCCGCTCCGCAAGGCGGCGCTGGCGGCGCAACTTCCGCCTCCGATGCCACCATGCACGAGCTCACAGGGTATACCACCAAGGTTTGGCCTGTTCGATACTGCTAGCGTCTTCCAAGCTCCATTCGCCGCAGGGCCCCCAAAAGCTGGCAAGCGTGTCACGCTACCCCACGACTCTGGATACCCCAAGTCTCGTGATAGAGACGATAACAAATCCGATGGAACAGCAATTCTGCGGACATACGACCATCTGCCTTCTCGTATTGCGCGTAGGGCTCCGAGGATGCGTGGATCTATGTTGGCTAAGGTCATAATCCACGTGTTGTAAGACCGCGGCAGTCTTGGGTGCAACTTTTAGTGTGGGGACAGCATACATGGAAAAAGACGGATCCTACCTTTGGGGTTCGTAGAAAAAGCACCACATGATCCTGTGTTTACGCCACATTAGCATGGTAGTAATATTGTTACTGTAACGTCGGAGATATACCTCGCACTAGAAGCCCAGAATACCATGGCGTCTAGCCGCGCAGAGAGAGTCCTCCTACGATTTTCAGCTCTCTTGAGCTCCCCGCTGGAGAGGACATCTTGCGTAGTGGAATGCGAGAATAATACCGAGCGGACCACGGAGTCCAAGGCTCTCACCAGGACGAGCAATGTCAAATCAATCGTTGGTGAGGATCGTTGTATTGGGGTGATGCCGGAGGATCTGTGCGTAGATGGTGTGGAAGGCCGAGAGCGTCGATGCTGGAGCAGCGCGATGGCAATGTACGCCGAGAGAGCGTTGGCAGAGAACGTCTTGTGTACATCCTTGAGACGAGACAGAAACGTTTTGGCTCTCAATGGCAATATGCCTTGCTGCTCTTTCTCCAAGTAAGCCAGCAGGGACCTGAGGGCTGCCCCACCTGCAATGGCCACTGTGAATGCAGACGCGAAGCCAGTGAAGCCCAGCTCGCGCCGAAGGGCACGCAGAAGCTGTGCCGCACCACTTCGCCGTGGCTTTGCTAGGAAGCCTGCGAGGACTGGGCTTAGCGATAGGGATAAGGCCAGAGAGTAGGTCCTGAGGGCAATCTGTAAAGGATGGTCATCTGAAAAGGTGTGAAGCTGCTCTGCTACGTAGTGAGACCACCACCGCAACGAGCTTGTGCTGGCCATGTGTGGGCCCTGTCGACCCCTGGTCTGCGACTCGGAGGGCGGACTTCTGGAAGGCCCTCCGTACGCTCTGTCCGACAAACCTTGCGAGCTGGCGGTTGTCAATGCGATCGCGAGTGTGCATCGACCGCGGCTGTTTCGCGCGGTGCGATTCAATCACATGCATTTCTCGTGGTAATAGCCGTATATGGCAGCTGTGCTAGTGGTATTCGAACATCCAGAGTGCGAAATTCATACGGACGACCCTTCGCCTATCAGATTCTGTAGACTCTGAGAAGAACTCCAGAAATCAAGTAAAGACAGCGTCGATAGTCCTTCAAGCCCACCACTTATGTCTGCAAGTAGGTTAGCCCGCGTCACCAGTTCTATGAACTGTGCACGGGAGTCTGGATAGACAAAAAGGTGTAGGATATCTTGACCCTGCAATACATCCGTCAGGACGCGTTCTCGTTCCAGCACGATGCAACTCACATGGACCTGCAGGACTCGAGCAATGTGTTCTCGAGCCGCGGGTTCTATAATCACTCCCGTATCACCCGCAAGCTTCTCGTCGACGGTGGCCGTTCCCTCGCGGACATGTTGCGAAGGTAGCGGGTGTTCATCTTCCGTCCACTGCTTGCGTAGCGCCGAGGTTTCGACCTCGTCGTGCGCCACGTCCAGCCTCGAGTCGTGCATCCATCTCTGCCACAGCTCTAGCTTCCTCCCGTCTCTGTCCAACCTCATGAGAGCACGTCGACAGCGTTGCCAGTCCTCTTCGACGTTTCCCTTCCATACCACATCCTCCTTCCAAGACTTCTCGTCCTCGTCCTCGTCCTCTGCTGTTACTATGACAGACGGCGGGCGAGTCGTCCCCGTCTCCGGGTGAGGTAGAATGGCTGCGAGGAGACCGGTTGTAGCCTCACTGACAGTGTCGCCGGTGGGCTGCTTGCTGAGAGCAGGCCGGACCATCAGCCGTACCCAGCGTCGCCGTCGCACCCAGCCACCGGCACTCATAAATCCCGTCTGCGCACGCCAGTGGTGTTTACGGAAGAGCCAGTTGTACTCGAAGCCGTCGTACTGGGTCTGGCCATCACCGCGCATGTCGACCATCCACTTCCGCGAGACCCAGCGCCAGGAGCCGTCGGGAAGGGGGTATGTAGACAGTCTAAGTGAGGGTGATTTGCCGCGGACTATCCTGGAAGTGGATGGTAGAGTGAACGCCGGAGGGTCGATAGGGAGCAGGGGCAGACGTGAATAATACGCGGTGGAAAAAAGAGTGAATCTAGGGCATGCGCTTGAACAATAAATATCAATAGTAATATCATCAGCTGAAGCCACCTTACCCTCGTTGATTCTCGTAAATAACAGCCCATCTGTAAACGTCCTTATCGTAGTTTTCCATGAGTTCGTCTGCGTAGACGACATTGTCCTCGACCCTGATGAAAGGCATGTCTTCTGCTTCCGGGTCAAGTGAAGGACGTGGCTCCTCCTCGGACGTGGACACACTCTCTGTGGGACGTCCATTCTGCGAGCCGTCCGAGCTTCTTGAGTATGTCGGTAGCTTGAAGAACGAACGTTTCGATGGTGTACGTATTTGCGCAAGCTCTGCCTCTGTCAAGTTGTCTGCCTGTACATGCAAGGGCGGCGGCACAACATCGGTGGACGCGCCTGGCTGCAGCTGCTCTGTGTCGGGCATGGCAAGTGTGTCTCGACCCTAGTGTAGGGTTGCCGCGTCTGGAGAAGAAGTGATGTGACGTCACGTTCCGGATATTGAATATTGACCCCCATGTTGCGCTTGACCCCGACCGCGAGGCTCAGGCCGAATGTCCTCCACAATCGTGCCCGGACACTCTATACGATCCCCAGGCAGAGTGTCTCAAGCACTTTAAGGACACTCTCCCCTACCAGACATCTAAGTGCTTCCGTCTCGTCCTCTACGAGCCAGTGCCCGTCTTGCTCAGCTCCCTTGCCCACCTCTTTGCCGGCATGTCCGAAATGCTTCTTCATCTCACGTCCATCCAAGTCGACAACATATTTTGACATCATGGGCTTATCTCACAGCCCAAACCGCTTTGACGTCGATCCCATGGACTTGAAGCATCGGTTTCGAGAGCTTCAACGCAATATACATCCCGACAAATGGTCAGCAAAAGGAAAAGTGCGTGCTGGGATCTCACACTTCAAAATTTATACTCACAGCTACCTTAATGTATATGTAGGACGCGCAAGAAGTCGCGGTAGAGCTTTCGAGTGCTGTTAATAAAGCGTACAGCACGCTGCTCAACCCTTATACAAGGGCAGAATATATCTTGCAACTAGAGGATATACATATCGGCGAGTCTGAGAGCCTTAATGATCCCGAGCTGATCATGGAGGTTATGGAAGCTCGGGAGGAATTAGAAAGCGCAGAGAGCCGCGAGGACGTCGAAAGGATCCGCGAGGAAAACCAAGGTACGACGTTTGGCCCACGGAAGCTACGCAGCTAATATCGCTACACCTACAGAGAAGATCGATGAGCTTGTGCCCGAACTCTCGGCTGCGGTGATCGTAAAGGACTGGGGTACCGTCAAGAACGCTACTGTCAAGCTAAAGTATCTGCAAGGCATTGGTGCTGCGGCAGAGGCTTGGCCCGCTAGTGTGCATGACCATTGATGTAACTAGATGGACCACTCGTAGATTATTATGTACAATCAGACACATACCTCACCACTCATCTACTTGGGCCGCTCTTCGACCTTGAGGCCTTGAGGCTTGATCAACTGAAGTTTGAGGCGAAGCCTTTCCTTGGGCGCCTGTGTCACACGTCAAGTAAGCGCCTGAACGTATGGAAGTTCTTTTGGCTTTGTGGGCTGCAACTTGCAGCGTTCTAGTCTGCCCTCGAGCTCACTCCAGTCGAGCGCCGCAATTTCACCTATACGCCTCACCCTGATACGTTACACCTGTAGGAAGGTGCCTCAAACGACTTGTGGCCGGACGATAGCGAGAAGAGAAAGTCGAGAGATAGAAGTCTTGGTGCGGCGTATCGTTTACACAAACAGAAGTGCAATACTCACTCTCTTGGCTCTGCAGGGTACACAGGTACTCTATGCGCTTTGCATTTGTGCTCCGGCATAGGCGAGGCCTCCTCATGCAACAACATCCATCCCACAGCTCTGCGCATGCTTCGTCCTCCGGCGGCTCCTTGAAGCGTCCGGCTCAGCAAGCACTCGGCCAGAGTCGCCCATCTTCCTCATCCTCCATGAACCACAATGCCGCGGGAGGATTGTCTCCCTCCCCGCTAGACCGCCCAACCAAGGCACCAAAAGTCGACAGCATGCAAACACATCACTATTCGTCGGCCGCCCCAGCATTCGCGCATAACTCACCGCGCGGCAGCCGCCTGCAATCTCGCCCTGCGGCGCGAAGTTCTGGCAAGTCAAAACCATTTGGAATGGCCAAAAAGCCTGTTATACAGGGCCCCGTGTATGATGAAAAGTACATCAAGGAGACATACATGACGAAATCTCTCAGGCCTGAATGGGCTTCGAATCCGAAGTCGCCGGTGGCGAACTGGTGTGCACTTAACAAACGCAGCTCGCCGAAGTATGATGCGGCTCATGTTCTTGGACCGAATGGCATGATGTGGAGGTGCGTCAAGCGAGCTGCTCTTCCCGAAGCCGTTTTGACCTCATTTGAGTCAGAGCTACTCTTGCCATCAAAGGCGAAACGGACGATGCGAACATATCTGCTATTGGAGACCACAAGCAATCCCGCAAAGATGCTGAGCGGTTAGCTGCGTTGTGCGCGTTGTATCAGATGGATGCGAAGGACTTCGTACGTTCACGGTGCGATGCATGCTGAATGCGCATTAACGAGTTTCATTGATTCTAGTTCGATCGCAAGCCAACGCAGCAGTCAGGAGACTGGTCTCCAACTGAAGTCACCTTGCCAGATGGCTCGGTACTTGGTTATGACAGGGCACGACAATTTATGGACTACTATTGTCGGAGGTTCGGGTTTGGAAGGCCGGACATTGAGTCCATCGAGCTGCGCGGTAAAGGCATCACCGGTTGGGAGGCAATCATGACCGTCGGTGGGCGGAAGATTGGCATGGGTACTGCACCAGCCAAGAAGCAAGCGATGATGAGCTGTTACGTCGATGTCGCCAAGTATCTTGAAACTTGCGATCCCGAGCTGTGGAAGAAGTTTGTCACGGATGCGAGGACAGGGAAGGACCTTGGCATGGCAGTGCCCGTCCGCTTCTCCGTTGACCAACGCGTCGAGGACCAAGTTGCCGACCTCTGCACGGAGATCAAGAGGAGTACACTGTACAAGAACCGGCCAAGGCTTCGTTCGCTGATGACGGGCAACGACGACCCAGCGACCATGGACCAGCAGTCTGTTGCTCCTCAGAAGTACGTGGCACCATACCGTCGACGAGCCGACGAAGAGGCTCTTGCCCTGAAGTCGAAGGTTCTGCAGGAGAGACGCAAACAATATCTGGAGAACCCTGCCATGGAGAAGATGCGCAAGACTCGCGCTGCGCTTCCTGTCTACACCAAAGCTGACGACCTTCTTTCCCACATCCGCGAACACGACGTTACGATTTGTATGGCAGCCACTGGCTCTGGCAAGACCACACAGATTCCCCAACTCATCCTGGACGACTGGATAGACGGAGGAGAGGGCGCAAAGTGCAATATTGTCTGCACCCAGCCACGTCGTATTGCCGCGATTAGTGTTGCGCAGCGTGTAGCAGCGGAACGAGGAGAAATCGCGGGCAAGGGCTCCATTGGTTACCAGGTTCGATTCGAAGCACAGCTTCCCGAGGACCACGGCAGTGTCACCTTCTGCACCACCGGTATCTTCCTGAAGAGGATGCAGTCCGCTTTGGAAGAAGGTGCACGCGGCAGGAGCCTCGACGATGTGACGCATATAGTCGTTGATGAGGTCCACGAGCGAGATGTTGATACTGATCTTCTACTCGTCGTTCTCAAACGATTGCTGGCGGATCGCAAAGCGAAGGGAAAGCCCATCAAGGTCGTGCTCATGTCTGCCACTATCGATCCCAGGCTCTTCCGCGAATACTTCCCTGACGAGCAGGGCGACCCAGCCAGCGTTATCGACATTCCCGGTCGGTCGTTCCCTGTGCAGAAGCACTTCTTGGATGAGTATCTCCTGCAGCTTCTCGAAAGCGCCGGCCCCGAGGGCCAATGGGTGTTCCAGGACGATAGTGTTCGTAAATACATTGCGCAGGAGCTCGGTGGCAACCTCCCGAACCATCCTGCATTCAATTCGTTCCGGCAACGCTACGGTCAAGGATCAACCGAGGAGGATCTCGATCTACCGTATCCCCTCATTGCTCTTACTATCACCCACGTGCTGCAGAAATCCGACGACGGACATGTTCTTGTCTTCCTTCCCGGCTGGGACGATATTATCGGCGTGCAAAGGGCGCTTCAAAACCCAAGAGGAGGGAGGCTCGGCTTGAACTTCAACTCTTCGCAGTTCAGAATCCATTGTCTCCACTCAACCGTGCCAATTCAGGAGCAGCAACTCATCTTCGACCCTCCACCACCCGGACAGCGTCGCATCATTCTTGCTACCAACATCGCCGAGACCTCCGTCACTATTCCTGATGTCGTGTACGTCGTTGATTCAGCCAAGATCAAGGAGCAACGATATGATCCGGAGAGGCACATCTCATCTCTTGTTTCCGCATGGGTCGGCTCGTCGAACTTGAACCAGAGAGCAGGCCGTGCCGGTCGCCACCGTCCAGGAGAATATTATGGTATTCTTGGCCGTCGCCGCGCGGACAACTTGCATCCTCACCAGACGGTCGAGATGAAGCGTGTTGACCTCAGCAACGTTGTCATGCATGTCAAGGCGCTCAACTTCCCAGGCATGGCCGTCGAGGAGGTGTTAGCCGCTACGATCGAGCCGCCGCCTGCGGAGCGCGTAGCAGCGGCAATGAACTCGTTGCAGATGGTCGGCGCGCTAGACGACAACAAGAACCTCACATCGCTCGGACGTGTCCTCCTCCAGCTGCCAATTGACGCGCAAATGGGCAGGCTTGTCCTCTTCGGAAGTTTCTTCCGCTGTCTTGACCAAGCCCTAACCCTTGCCGCCATCCTTACAAATCGCGACCCGTTCGTCTCGCCCATGCACCTGAAGGACGAAGCGTCTGCACGCAAGATCTCTTTCTCGCCTGAAGAGTTCCGCTCTGACGCCTTGGCGACTCTGCGCGCATATAATCAATGGTGGGAGATATACAGCCGGGAGGAGTATAATGCCGCCACTCGATTCTGCCTGGAGAACTTCCTGTCGAAGCCGACTCTCGTGATGATCCAGAAGATCAAGTCGCACATTCTTCAGTCTCTGTACGACATCGGCGTCATTGAGGTCTCCGCCAGTGGCACTGCTGCTGTCAGGCCAACGAGGTCCAGAGGATCTGTGTTGACTGTTCCCGCGGAGCTCAATAAGAATGGCAGTTCTCTGCCTTTGCTCGCTGCACTCATTTCGATTGCTGTCCAGCCCAAGTTCGCTGTTCGGTCCTCTGACAAAACTTATAGGACTTCGCAGGACAAGGTATGTGCCTTTGGGCAGGAGCTTAGCTACATTTCATCTGACCTGGATCGTAGGTGGTCTTCATTCATCCCTCTAGTGTCAATCACCGCAAAAGGCTTGAGAAGGACGGCGACGGCGCAGTCACCGAAGAAAAGCATATCATTGCTTACGTTGAAAAGCGCCAAAACCTTTCGGCGGCAGGAGCGAACGCGAATGCGCAGAAGTTCTTGGTTAACACGACTCGTCTGGATCCATTGACGTACATGCTCTTCGGCGCACATCGCGTCGAAGTCACTCGTCGGGGACTCGATTGCGACGAGTGGTTGCCCATCGTCGGCGACCTGAACGTACTCGATGATCTGGAACATCTCAAGGTCATGATGGAGTCGTGCCTGCTTCGTGTCTTTGAGGGTATCACCAAACTCCGGGCCAAGCGGCTGGCACCACCGATGGAGGGTAAGGAAGACGAGTCGGGCGACGAGGATGAGGACGTCAGAAACGAGCCGCTTTCTGCAACGGAGATCAAGGAGCTCGACTACCTCGCACAAGACATGGTCAGCATCCTCAACAACTACAGCACGTACCGCTCGACGAGCCAGTCCCGCCCCAACACCCGACCGGCCACCCCTATGGATTCTCCCTTCTGGTCAGCAAGTATGCTCCCGCCGCCGGGCGTAAGCGGTGCTCGGTCTGGCTATTCGACGCCCCGGCACATGAGCACCAGCTTCTCTTCCCGGCCCAACACGCCAAGCCGCCTGTCCCGGAGATGATGTGTACTTGATCAGCAGCTGTCCATTTCGATTTGCATGCAAACCCACCACTTGCACTATTGTAATTTACTAGAATAATAGTAACGAAAAGTCACAACTCTTGCGATATTTAATCACGCTTTGGCTGAGGGTCGTCTCGGAGCGCTGAGCTCGGGTCGGAGGACGGAGGAGCCTGCCGATCGCGCGTGGCTGGGCCGCCGGTCTCTAGCCGAGTCTAGGCTGTCTTCAGCCCTCCTACGACCAGCTCGTATTACTCCATGTTGACTACCCTCCCTGTTCTTTAATTCCTGCTGCCACATAGCTTCAAGGATCCCTACTATTCTTCCTGTGCGATCTCGAAACTCGGTTGTAGTTTGTCGCGAACACCTTTACATCCGACAAGATGGCGACGAGCATGAGGGGCTTGACCCAGGTGTGTTAGACAGATGCACGTCAGGGTAAACACAGCTCACAGCCCATCTCCAGTTTATCGCGGACATTCGCGGTGCGAGAGTCCGCGAGCTGGAAGAGAAGAGAATCAACAAAGAGATGGCCAATATCCGGAAGCGGTTCAAGGGTACGCGTCCCAGAGCGTATTCGTGACTTCGGTTCCTGACTATTAGGCAGACGGGAACTTGGATGGATACCAGAAGAAGAAGTGAGGGAAGCGCTTCATTGCGAGCAGGACTCGTGCTGACAAGCCTCGTAGATATGTAGCGAAGGTCATCTTCACATACATCCTTGGCTACAAGGTCGATGTTGGACACATGGAAGCCGTCAACCTAATCTCAAGCTCAAAATATAGCGAGAAGCAAATAGTACGTGTATTCCCCCATGTATTCTTAGTCACTAACGGCCTTCCGCAGGGTTACCTAGCAGTGACCTTGCTCATGCACGAGAACTCGGATTTCCTAAGACTGGTGGTGAACTCAATCCGAAAGGACTTGAACGAGAACAACGAGGTCTACAACTGTTTGGCTCTCCATGCTATCGCCAACGTTGGTGGACAAGAGATGGCGGAAGCGCTTGCGGAGGACGTTCATCGTCTGCTCATCTCCCCGTAAGCAGAAGCCTGGCTATCTGGTAGTACAGCTGTCCTCACTATTGCATTCAGAACATCGCAAAACATTGTTCGAAAGAAGGCGGCACTGACCCTCCTTCGGCTATATCGAAAGCACCCTGAGGTCATACCTGCTGCGGAATGGGCCCTTCGTATAGTCTCCCTCATGGATGACATGGACTTGGTATGCTGTAAAGTGCGTCTACATACAGATTGATACTCAGCGACTATCCAGGGTGTCGTCATATGCGTCACTAGTCTAGTATTGGCCCTTGCCCAGGATCACTTGGATGCTTACGCTGTATGCTATACGAAGGCCGTCGATCGATTAAATAGAGTGAGTCATCTGGAGCATTATCGAAATTGCACGATGGCTTATATCTTTCGCAGCTAGTAGTAGAGCATGAGTACTCTGCAACTTACGCTTACTACAAAGTACCATCGCCTTGGCTACAGGTTAAACTGCTACGGCTGCTTCAATATTATTCCCCAACAGGTATGGCCCTTTCTCCACCAGCTACATTAGGTCATGGCTTGATCATACGCAGAGGATTCGACCCTCAAGAACGTCCTCTACGAGGTGATAAAGACAATGATGAGCAATTGCGCAGAGCCCTCCCGCAACGTCCAGCACAACAACGCACAACATGCCATACTATTCGAGGCCATTAACCTTGCTATCCACTTAGATACCAACTCGCCATTAATCAGCACAGCGACTGTGCTTCTCGCCCGCTTCATCAGCTCGAAGGAGACCAACGTGCGATACTTGGGTCTCGACACTATGGCTCATCTCGCCGCTCGCGCAGATCATCTAGATGCGATCAAGCGACATCAGGGTACAATTATCCTTTCTTTGCGAGACAAAGATATCTCTGTCCGTCGACGAGCCCTCGACTTGCTCTATAGTATGTGCGACGTTGACAACTCCGAACTCATTGTTGGAGAACTGCTGCGGTACCTCAAAGTGGCAGACTACGGGCTTCGGGAGGAGATGGTCTTAAAGATTGCTATACTTACGGAGAAGTATGCGGGCACGTACAAGTGGTACGTCGACACGATACTGGAGCTTATCAGTGCCGCCGGTGACCACGTCGGTGATGATGTCTGGTATCGTGTCGTACAAATCGTGACCAACACCGAGGACCTCCAGCCGTACGCTGCCAGAGTAGTTTTCGAATACTTGAAGTCCCCTTCGTCACACGAAAGTTTGGTCAAAGTTGGAGGTAAGCGAAGCTATCAGTAGATACTTCCATTGTGTACACTGAATGTTCAATAGGTTACATTCTCGGCGAATACGGTCACCTCATCGCCAACGATTCTGGCTACACTCCGGTCGAGCAGTTCCAAGTTCTGCACTCAAAATCGCAATTTTGCATGGCACCCACCAGAGCGCTCCTTCTCTCGACATACATCAAATGGGTCAACGTCTTCCCGGAGATCAAGGAGCAACTCGTTAACGTCTTTGAGCGATACCGTCACGTGCTCGACGTTGACTTGCAGCAGCGCGCATGCGAGTTCTACGCGCTGGCGACACGCACAGACGACGACGACTTGCTGCAGAACGTATGCGAGGAGATCCCACCGTTCCCGCCGCGCGAGAGCACACTCATCGGGCGACTGAATCGTAAACACTCTGAGAGTGGAAAGCCGTCCCTCGAACGCTCATCAACTCTGAGGCAGGCGACGAGGAAAATGACCTTGGGAGATGTGAATGGTACTGGTGCAGCAAAGTCGGACGTGTCCTCGAACATCACACAATCGTTCTTGGGTCTCGACCTTACGTCTGAGCCGACAGATTCGAACCCACCGGGGTTGAATCAAGACATGGTATCAGCCCCAGCCGCTGTCCTAGCCGAGAAGGGGATTCCGCGGTTGACTGTCAACGCCAACATCGACCGATGGTTCGACAAGCTCATATACTGTGCCGAGGGTGTCCTGTACGAAGATGTCCAAGTCCAAATTGGCATCAAATCTCGATATCACGGACACATGGGTCAAGTCGCAATATATGTTGGCAACAAGATTTCTGCGCCACTGACGTCCTTCACTGCGACACTGCATATTGAAGAGTCCGACGCACTTTCAGCCACCTTCGCCAAGATTGCGCCAAGCATCATTGTTCCCCGGACGCAGTCGCAGCAGCTTGTACATGTCGAGTGCAAGAAACCCTTCGCGAAACCGCCGATCCTGAGCGTGTCCTTCCTCGCCGGCGCTCACCAGACCATCGCGGTGCGGCTGCCGATCGTCATTACCAAGTTCATTGAGCACGTCAAGCTTGGCCAGAGCGAGTTCTTTGAGCGGTGGAAACTCATTGGCGGGCCCCCGCGCGAGGCACAGAGCATCTTCCCCATCGCAACGAACGAGGCCGGTCATGTCAATGTCGTGAGGCAGCGTCAAGTCGTCGCTGGCAACTCGATGAACGTTCTCGAGGGCGTTGACCCGAATCCCAACAACACCGTCGCAGCGGGAATCTTGCACATGTCGGGGGATGGCAAGGTTGGGTGTCTCATGCGGCTGGAGCCTAATCGGGAAGCCAAGGTAAGCCACCACATCTTCCGCTGCAGCATACGCGAATGCTGAATACCTCTCTAGCTTTGCCGCATTACGGTGCGGAGCACGTCAGAGGCTGTAGCTGCAGAAGTCAAAAACTTAATACAGGGACCCTTGGTGGCAGACTCGACAGCATGAGGCATTGTAGTTGGTCTGGAATGCGAGGGATGGGTGGATGGATACGATCTACTAAAGCACAGCACACCTAATATATACGGATACCCTTGTACAAGATGATTGTAAACACTCTGCTTATCCAGTCCAGAGTTATTATTTCCGGAGAATACCACGTAATAGCCCCTTCTTCTTTCCAGCGATTTCTTCGGACGTGTCCGGGGATATGGAAAGAAACGCGAAAGCTGAGGGCGGCGAAGATGGAAGAGACTGGCCTCGTCGAGAGAGGGCGGAGTCCGTAGATGCAGATCGCGGATGATTTATGAGAAGCGGGCGGGACGGCCCAGGTATTGGTGTATCGCTGGTGATAGTAGAGTGATCTCTAGAGGACTGGGACGATTGTCGTGCACTTGTCAACGAGTCGTGAGACATTACCCGCGGAATTTGTGGATGGCTGTCTGCCGAGTCGGATTGGGTGGATGACGAGGATGGCTGGGAGACCCTTCCGCTATGTGAGGCTGAAATGTTCCCTGTGGTCGGTGAGACTGGGCCCGACATGGTGGATACATCGCGCGGGGGTGCGGACCTACGTCGGCTGGCAAGCTTGCTGACTCGTGCGAGTGCCTGCTCCTCGACTTCAAAGCACGCCTGACAAAAAGAATCGAAGTCTCGTTCCGACGGCGCACCGGTCCTCGTAGGCAGGTGCCGACGGGTGTTCCGCACGACTATCGAAGTGATAATGGCCAAATGCTTGCCGACATCGAGCATGTATGGCAGGGGAGGTATTGACTCACGGTGCAGCAAGGGGATGGTGCTGCTTTTCCGCAGTAGGGCGCTGTTGATCCTCATCTTCTCTCGCCCATTGAGACCAACAGACGGCGACAACGGTGTGTTTTCGGGTCCTGCCGACGATATGAAGAGGATGTATTCAATCATGGTCCCGGTAGAGCTCGTGAGGAATTCCTTCACGCGGACATAATCTTCACGCTGCACATGCTACATGATTATGCGTCCACGGGAGTATAGGAGTGCACAAACGCACTACTCACCGTGTTCAAATTGGCCAGACTCTGTAAGACCTTAGCAACCAGTGTCAAACTTCGCTGAACGGGCTCGTCTGTCAGACCTGGCTGCTAGTTTAGGGAATGCATGCGTGGACTAATGATACACGACGCACCCGGCCAAAATCCAAAGTAGTGCGGGTGCAGAATGGCGGGGATGAAGAATCGGAGGAATACGAATGCGGATACTCCTTGCCACGGTAGGTCGGGATACCGGTCCTCACGGACATGATATCGTGTTTCAATGAGTGTACGTATGTGGGAGAACAGTTTTCGCATATCGCTAAGCATGGGTTAGTACTGTATGTATTGTGTGAAGAGCAACAGGGGCACGAACTCTGGGCACTTCTCCCGGGCGTTATAGATCGATCTCCAGAACTCTTGACACCATTGCAGCAGCAACTCGACATTTTTCTCGACGTGTTTGGAGTTCTTCCCGCTGCGCGAGGGATCCGTCTCAATTGCGACTTTCTCTGTACATAGACGACGGATGGCCGGTCCGATACTGGCTTCCAAGAACGCAGCTCCCTTTGTCACCATGAATATCTCCATGGTCTTAGTGAATACTGTGTTTCCCCGGCTGTTCACATGAGCTCGCGAGGACGTGAATAGACTAGGCAAGGCTTACAATAACGTGCTGTGTGCTAGGACAAGACGTCAGCGCGCGGATCTCCAGACAGAAGGAAATACATTACATCTTTCGGTGCCATCAACTTCTCGATCTGCAAGCTCCATGATGTCGTTAAGGAGACTGTCCTCAGCTAACGAGACGGCCACTAGATCGCTGGAGATGCTTCGGATGTTCAGCTTGCTCTCCAGCTCGCTGATCCAGTCCAGATAGTTCTTCGCTTGCATAGCCTGAGAGATGGATTGAGCATGATCTTAGGACACGCTGCCGAAATCCTGAACATACTTTTAGCACTCCTGAGTACGCAGCATGAGGCAGTATAATCTCTCTGTGTCGTGGTAAGCCCAATGTCAGTATGGGTGAAAGTAAACGAACCTACTCGTCCACACGAAGCTTGAGCCTGATCTCTCCGGCGATAGTACCATTCCCGTTTTGTGTACTCTGGACTGGGAACCATCCTTCCACAGGCTCACCGCGTCGGAAATTCATGAGGGGGATACACACTGTCCCTACGAGGGTCGGCTTCGCTTGTCGTTTCTCTCGCCAAACCATAATCTCCAGCATATCAAATGGTGGCAGATCGCTGAAAGTGAAGCCTTCGTGCCAATCTGGGCAGCCAAGGCCTTTCCGGACTGTTGTCTTGCCCGACAGCATGCCGTTTACCCAAAGTGAACAGTAAACATCCATGTCCGATGTTTCTTCTTGCTCAGGCTGGGAGGAGTCATCCGCAGAGCGGACGGCCCCAAGATTGCGTGCTTGTATGCAGGTGAGGTCGACCTGCCTCCACATACGGTACAACCCGCCCTCTTGTATGTTAATCCATCGTCCGTACACCTCAGGCATTGCGTACGCCCGAAGTAATACTAACCACAAATTTAGCGTATCTGTGTCGGAAAATTGTAAATAGAGAGGCTCTGGAGTGGGCGTGGGACTGATAGATATCTGACGGTTGCTTCATAGCAGCATGAGACAAGTTCAATAGAGGGGAGACTCGCACGTACGCGCTTGGAAATAGGCCTAGACAGTCTTTGCGATCAAAGAGGGAGCGGTGTATGTGGCGGATGTCGGTATGGTGCAGAACATGTACATAGACTTGAGCATATAACGCCGTGTTCTTTGCTGTCTTTAATATGTGGTACGTAGCGAGTTAATGAGTATTACACACCTCAATATAGATATTGAGAAAGCATCCCTCGTCCTGCTCTTCCAAGGTGCACTTTGCGGACCGCCAGTGGTCTGCACCACCTGCTCCACGCGCTAGACTAAGCCAACTGGACTTCTCTGGGTGCATAGATCAATATACGCGCATCACAGTACGCACCGGAGACGCACCTTTGACTTTCCTCTGTCCAAGGTCGCTAGAGCTCGGCATATTCCTCAGCGAGTCGCGCTTCTCAGACTTCTTCCGCGGGATAGGAGGGTTGAGCTTTAGACAATGAGTTTCCGATATGACTGTGCTAGCCGTACGTGGTACGCACCTTGCGGTAAATAGTGGCAGCCTTAGAGACATACACTTCAACGTTCACGTCGAACTCCCTCGGCGTACCGCTCATCGACATCGAGGAACTATGACGACTAGAAGAGCCTGCGTACGGCGTGGAGTCTAGGGCAGAATGCATTGGTTAAGTGAAGGCGGAGAGCAGTATCGTTCATAGCACGTCGTGCGTGCAGTTATACCCGTCGGATATTCCACTAGCAAGTATGGTGTCTCTTGTGAAAAAGCACTCTGGAAGCAGCAGTGAAACCGAATCGACGCTCCGTGGATATTCGCAGGGTGTATGCGCTGTCTTTCGGGCTATCACGTCGAGAGAAACAGCATGGGCGCTGAGGAACGGTACAAGGGGTGGTCGACCGCCGAATATCGCTTGTCCTACGACCCCCTCATGTACTTATCGTAAGAAGCACCTCGCCCAGAAAGGCAGCGCCGCGACAACTGGCGTCCACGGCCAATGGGCCTGGATTTCGTGGATTTCTCCCGCGTTCTCAGCTTCAGCTTTTATGTCTTGAAGGATATCAGCTCGGCATAGAACATATGCTACTACTATCGATTTGATTAACTCAAGATTCTCGACGTGCATAGCGCTGGGTTCAGAATTCTGATAGAATGATTGAGGCCAAGACTTGGCTACTAGCCGGCATACCCTCAACGCACGGCGGGCGAAAAATATGAATGGCTCGTCGTATGCGTGTCGTCTATTCATGCCTCGTAATAACCAAAAAAAATCGGTCCAGCGTCATAGAAGCAAAGCAAGTTGACGCTAGGTTCCCTAATTATGCACAGCGACGAATAGTAGGAAACATGTTACGAACAAACGAAATTGGTTCCCTGGACGAGAAGGGCAAAGGAGAATTAAACAGGAATTTTGGGGGGTATCATAGAGTGACGCGCGTCCTGAACGTCGGTGCCAATTGATCCAGCTCGCTTCACTCTTTCTCCTTGTCGTGGTCGCGGTTCATTGATATCCTTACTCAGTCTTGTGCCTGCAGAGGACCGGCTCGATCATGACACATAGCCGAAAATAGATTTGCCAACGTACCCATGGCCGTTCGCGACACCGTTTGCCTTTCCATTTGCGATAGGCTTTCCCTTGCTCTTGCCAGCCGGAACCTTCTTGTATGTCTGAATGTAGAAGTTGATGAAGAGCACAAGATAGCTGGAGAGTAGAACACAGCCGAAGATCGCAGCACTTTCCGTTCCAGCACAACTACCAAAGTTGGGGAGGTTGGGGAAGTAGTTCGCGGCGTAGTAGTTGTAGGCTACATCGATGTCAGTTCGTTTCCGCGTCCCGAGCTCCGTCGGAAGCACGCACTAGCAAAGTACACGGCAAACAGGTCGATGACGAATTGTACAATCTGCATGGTAGTCAGGTACTTCTTCCACTGCAAAAATAATCAGCACGTGGAAGAGAAAGACTGCCGTCTAGCAAACATACCCAGATCTTGGCACCACCAGCAGTTGCATAGTAGTAATAGTCTGTGATTTACGTTAGCCGCCAGCTCATCCGAGACATTGGGGGTTACATACACATCAATACGTGGACGCATAGGTTAATCGATATAGGGAGCCATTGCTGCCCGAGATAGTCATTCGGAGCGGATCGGTGGACCGAATATTTGACCTACCACACTAGTGCGGCCATTGAGCTGCGTATAGCACAAGAGAGCAGTCGCGGAGTGGTGGAAGACATGCAGGAAAGCTAAACGGGTGAATGAGCCTTGGAGAGAGCCCAGGCGCGTCCGACACACCTAATGGCTTCTTTTTCAGGGCGAGGAACAGGGTGTCGATGAGTTCGAGGTACTTGAAGTAATAGTTGATGATATAGTAGAATTCAAGACGCTGCAAAAGTCATTGGCCGTCAGTACAATGCTCAGCATGCCAAACGGCGCGTAGACAACGAACATTTGTCCACATGTTCGTCGAACACATGCCCCAGAACGGGCCGTTCTTCCAAACCATCGGGATGACCTCCTCGAGGATCAGGGACATTAGAAGCAAGCTGCCACTGCTGAGGAACATATTATGTATCTGGAATGGAATTCGCAGCCTGTAGGCAGGCCTGTCCTTCATGAACTGCTGGGTGCTGAAGACGATGACGAGGTAGGCAACAAGGGCGGGGCCGACCTCTTGCATGCTGGAGAGGGGAGTTTTACCGTTAACATAGCTCGTGAGGTAGTGAGGAACGGAGGGCAACGGGATATGAGCAAGGATAAAATCCGCGAGGGGCGCCATGGAGGGAGTCGTCGAGGTTGAAGGGGACAAGAGGCGGCGTTCAGGATAAATTTAAAATCTCACCTGAAATCTCGAACGACAGCGCTTTGGCCCGGTAGAGACAGGCGTCTACGCCGCCGGGCTCACGTGGAGGTGACACTGTGTGATGACCGCCGACGACGACCGCATGCTCGTGGTCCATTGCAAGGCCGTGCAGCGTTGAACGTTGAACAGTCGCATTCTGTTGCTGACACTTTGTTGGCAGCACCCGTGGAGAAAAGGTTTTCCACATGCTCCAATCATGCTCCGGGGTAATCAGGGGCGAAGTATGCGATGATGAGCTTGAGTTAGACTCGACAACGATCGCTTAGGCGCAAGTTTGTAGACGTTCCAGAAACAATGGCTGTCTAGACAGAGACAGAATATAAACATGCCATTGAGAGTCCATGATACTGATTAAGAGGAGAAAGAGCAAGTACGTAGAGAAGGAACCATGAACGTGACGTGCAGAGTATACAGATGCAAAGGGAAGTCAAAAAGATGGGAATAGCGATGAGAGGAATCCGAGACGTCTGAAATAATATTATGTGATAACAAGCGCAAGGCCGTCTTCGAGATCGGCAAGCAAAGCTTTTTGGCTGTGCGAGACGGTTAGCACATATTCACAGCACCATAGTGTAAGCGCATACCTCAATTGCAAGTGCGCATTTTCAACAGCCGCGAGGGCGGCTGCTTTGACTTTGTTGGCATCACTGTCCGCTGGTAAGGCACAGACCACACACAGAGGGCAGCTCGATGGCTGGAGGCGGTAAGACGCGGGAGTCTGCAGAGAAACCGTCAACAAATGATTAGACGCCAGCGTCTCCAACGTACCCCTTGGGATCGCAGAGCCTCCACCAAGTTGTGGACAAAAACGAGCGACCGCGTTCGAAGGTCGTGCAAGTCTTGGGCATCGACGACTGCATCGATCAGATTAGCGGGCATTGGTGCGCGGTGAATTGGATGGGCTTACAGGTGTCACACGATGGGATGGTCGTCGGCACGGTGCAGTGAAGTCGCACGGATTGTCCAAAACGGCTGATCAGCCTTGAGGAGCGCCATGTGAGACTACTGCAACCACGGAGGAAGACGCGACACTAGTACTCACTTGGCGAACGGTTCCACGGCGTCCTGCAAGTCTCCCAGCTGCGAACATGGAAGTCAGTAAGATCCCGGCAATGGCTGCCAACGAAGACTTACCTCGTTGAGCTGGATATCCTTTGGCCGATCGCGGTCCTCAACATGGAGAGCGACGTGCGCACGCTGGGGGATAGCCTGAGGTTGCAGGGATAGCATGGTGGGCGTAAGAACTAAGGGAAAGGTGGACAGGCGAGCGTCAGGATTGATATAGAAGGCAGCCGCTTGGGGCACGAAAGTCACGTCGAGATGGCGGGTCTTAAGTACTTAAGTACCGAATCCTCGTTGCCAGCTTCGCGGGGGGAACCGGAGGAGACGGAGAGGGTCCGGGTCTCTGACAGAAAGTGGTCCAGGTCCCCGCCAAATCGTGATGCAACGAGCTGGACGCCGCTAGTCATAGGGGGTACCGGTATTGCTATGGAGTAGCAGCATGAAGGAGGTGTGTAGTCGTCTGACCCAGGGGAAACGAGAGCCGAGGAACAAAAATGTGAAATAACCTCAGCTAGATCAAAGCAGGGTCTGGCCGGAGCCCGGACTTGGTCCAAGGTTGTACGTGAAGAAAGCTACATGTTTGGTCAAAAGAACAACGATGCAAACGGCAACGTCCCTGCGGACCGAAGAGTTATATACTTAAAGTTCACGTAAAAATCGCAGCGGTAGCAGTCTTGAATTGCTCGAGTTGCTCGTGGAGACTTCGTGGAGGCGGCGAGGAGAGGGCAGAAGCGTTTAAGCGTTGCGGCAAAGGGCGGCGGAGCGGTCTACGGGCCAGAATTCCGGGCCGAAGAAGTCCAGAGCCCGGACCTTCCGGTGGGAGGACGCATGACGTACCGCCTGCAGACTCAAGCGTCTAATCGATTATTCGTTGCACACTGCTTTCGACTTTGGCCAGAGTCAGAACCTCGTTTCAAAATCATATACCTCTCGCACACGAGCCCACATCTGTTTACGATATCTGATACCACACCTCTGCGTTGAGCAAGATGTGGTGGCTCGACCCGGGGAAGGAGGTCCTCAACATCGTGCGCAGCATACTCCCACCCTTGCATCATGTACTAAAGTCGCGGCCAGTTGTTCAACAGGGTCTTGGCCCCGTATGTCGAGAACTTGGATATGAACCAAGTCAACTACGGAATAGGACAAGGTTGCGACGCGTTACTCATTGGAAAGTGAAACACACTGAGCGCACGCGACAGGTCAATTGACATTACGCCAGTTGCGTCTGAAGAAGGGCGCTCTAGACAAGTTCAGGCTACCGGTCGATGTCATAGAAGGTACGCTTTACCCAAAAGACATCGAAGGATTATTCGGATAGATTGGACGCGCCAAAACAGGTCACCTCGGGAAATTTACACTTTCGCTGCACTGGATGAACCTGGGCAACCAGCCTGTCGAAATTCTCATCGAAGACGTCTACCTTCTCGTGGTCCCTTCTTCTGAAAGTTCCTACGATGCTGAGGAGGAGGATCGCAGAGCACAGGCCGCAAAATTCGAGAGGCTCCAGAATGCCGAGCTCCTTCACATGCAAGGCCAGGCAGAACAGGGTATGGTGTTCTCTATGCATGCGCGGGAGAAGACACTGAACACTGGCGTAGAATCTCCTCAGCAACAGGGTCTATTGTCATCGCTCATAAACAAGGTTATCAACAACCTCCAGGTGACCGTGAAAAATATCCATGTCCGTTATGAAGACAAGCTCAGTGTCCCCGGAGTGCGCGTTCATTGCAATAAACCGTGATTGCATATTACTTACGCTTCTCAGCACCCATTCGCAGCTGGAGTGACCTTGGCCGGTTTTACAGTTGTTTCAGTCAATGATCGATGGCTGCCCGCCTTCATTGATAGCACTGCAGGGATTATTCACAAGGTCAGTGCGCGCGTATCGTCTCTCGGGCTTCAGATCTGAAGTCCAATCTAGTTGGCTAAAATGGAGTCTCTGGCTGTGTACTTCGACACGGATGCTGCAAGTCTTGCGGGTCTATCGTACCAAGAATTCGTCAAGAAGTTCACAGAACTTGTACGTATCCAGACCCGCACAGCCTTGTTGTGCCTGATGGTCATATTCAGATCAACCATGGGGAGAACTCGACCGATCACCAGTTCGTCTTGAAGCCTGTATCTGGTGAAGGAAGGGCGAGTGCGATTGTATGGTCCTACAGAGCGCTTTGTTGATCTCGTTTCAGGTCAAAATCAACAACAAGTCCACCAAGGACATCCCCCGCTTCGATGTTCAGCTGCTCTTCAACGAAATTGGCGTTCTTCTCGACGACAACCAATACCGAGACGCCATCTCATTAGTCGACATGTACCATTTTTATACCCGCCAGCACCAGGTAAGGCACATGTAACAGTGTCAGCGACGTGTCTGACATGTGCTGTCGTAGTACCATAAGTTCCGGCCCGCCGTCGAGGATCTCGAGGAGAGCCAACCTCGAGCCTTCTGGAAGTTTGCGTCTACTGCTATTTTGGATGAGGTACACCAGAAGCGGAGACAGTGGACATGGAACTATTTCAAGGAGCGACGTGACGATCGACATCGTTACGTGGAGCTGTTTAAAAATAAACAGCTGGGGCCGCTATCGCCAACGGTATGCATATTGTCTTGATCAATGCATTGCAATCCTGAAGATTTCGCAGGACACGACTATGTTGGAGGCTCTGGAGCGCAAATTGTCCTATGAAGATCTTAGGTTCTATAGGTCTATCGCGCGCTCTCAGCTCAAGAAGGACCTCGCGGCACAACGGAAATTGGATGAAGAGAAGAAGAAGCAGCAGACTCAATCGCGCAGCAGCTGGACCGGCTGGCTGTGGGGCTCTTCAGGCTCTAGCGCGTCAGAAGCCACCGCCGAGGAATCACCGTTCTCCGGCGAGATGACCGACGAACAGCGGAAGCAACTTTACGAAATTCTGGATTACGACGAGAAGGCCGCACTGGCTTCGTCCTTCGAAACCCCTCGCGACGCCCTCCAGTTACGCGCCGCCGCTAGTCTCCAACGTGGATCTTTGGCGTTAAAGACCGACCCACACGGGCGGAACACAGAGATCCTGTCTGTTCTCTTCAATCGCTTCCAGGCCGACTTCATTCAGAGGCCGGACAACTTTGAGACATCGCTTTCGCTAACAAGTTTCTCTGTACACGATGGAACGACCAAGAACACGGTCTATCCTCGTATTGTTCAAGTCCAGGATGAAGATACTGTACGCACTGCGGACATGAGCATCCAGCCTGTCGACCCCTTCTTATACCTCAAGTTCGAGCACAACCCTCTCGATCATCGCGCCGACAGTGCATTAACCGTTCGCATGCGAAATATGGAGGTTGTCTACCACAGGGGTTATATCGAAGCCGTTTACAAGTTCTTCAAGCCTCCAGCGAGTCAGCTTGAATCGGTCGAGGCCCTCCTGGTTTGTGTTTCCCGTTATCCTGTTCCATAACTCCCAACCAAACTGACCGTGCAGGACGCTGCCGGGGAGACCCTTGAGGGTATCCGCAGGGAGACCCGAGCTGGTCTCGAATACGCCTTGGAGACGCACAAGACCGTAGACATTCAGATGGATATCAACACTCCTATTATCATCATTCCTGAGAAGTGAGCGAGTGAGTTACTCGTATGGAGAAATTAACCCAGGTCCCCTTGCAGCATCACGACTAAGGATTGCAAACATCTTATCATAGACGCCGGCCATATAGCCATCGAGAGTGAGCTAGCGGACAAGAAGGCTGTTCAGGAGATCAGCTCCAAGCGCAAGCAGCAGTACTCCGATGAGGACTATCGTCGACTCGAGTCCCTGATGTATGACAAGCTGACCGTCCGACTCGAGGCAGCTCAGGTAAGTTGCATTCACCTGTGGTGACCCTTTCGGCTTATATTTCACAACAGTTCGTCATCGGTACAGATCTCGAGGCTTCCCGTAAAGCGTTAACGTCCGACGAGCATGACGAGTTGCACCTTCTGGAGCGTATCAACATCAATCTCCAAGTTCAGAATTCTATCGTCCCTAGCGCGCATAGTCTAGCTCGATTCAAGCTCTCTGGTCATCTACCGAATCTACAGATCAACCTCTCGGACGCCAAGTACAAGTCTTTGATGAGATTGATCGACGTCTCCATCCCGAAGTTCGATAACGACTCCAATGCTCCTCGACGACCAGCTTTGGAAAAGGCGAAGTCTGGCGCTGGTGCATTTCGTCTGCCAAGCGGCATATTCGGTTCTCATGATCCGGATTACAATATTGACAGTGACACCGAAGACGAAAAGCGCGCCGACAAATCAGCGGAGGCCGATGACAACAAATTCTTCGAGGCGCAACCGGGCGCTGTCGAGGTTAGTCCAGCAGTAAAGGAATGTAGGCAGAGGGCTTACAAACTCGTGACAGACCCTGGAGATGCTGCAGCATATTGTCGAAGTGGATTTCCGAGTAGACAACCTTCGCGCGTCGTTGTACAAATCTCATGAAGGTGTCGAGCGAGAGTTGGGAAACCTCACGCTGGAGCAATTCGCCATGTCTTTCGCAATGGCTAAATTCACCATGGCCGTTGATCTGAGCCTGAGGTACTCCTTTTGGCTTGTAGTTCGCACTGTTTTGACAGATTTCTTCATCTTAGGTCCTTGTCCATGCACGTAGTTCAGACGGGCAAAGAATCCATCAAGTTTATCTCGTCTGCCTCAGCGGACTTATCTGAGCACTTGTTAGCGGTGAAGTACAACCGCGTACAACCTCAGTCGCCCCAGTTCACGACCGTATACGAAGGGATTGACCAGTCAGTGGACATCATGGTTACCACCGTCATTGTCCGTGCCGCCCCAGAGCCTGTCATCGCACTTTACGATTTCATCATGACCACCTTCGTGCCACAAGACAGTGCACCGAACGCGATCGACTCTCCCAGCCGCGGCGAAGACGCCGGCGAGATGACAAATACCAGCAATTCCAGTCCAACTCAGAGGATCAGGGTCCTTGTTAAGCTCGCTGGCGTGCAAGGTTGGAGAACCCCCTAACGCCAATTTAATTTTTCAAAACTTACACAGTCCACAGTCATCGTTATCAACGAAGACGTTCAGGTTGCAACCTTGGCCATGTCGACAGGCGATGCGTCGATTATGCTTCATGCATCTACGATGCAAGTCAACTGCCGTCTCGGCTCCCTCTCATTGATCGACGACTCCGAATTGCGTACGGCGATACCAGGGTACAAGCAGATCCTGTCTATCGAAGGCGATAACTTCGCCGACTTCCGCTACCAGACGTTCGACCCCTCGGATCAAGAGAACTACAAGGGCGTCAAGTCGTCGGTGTATCTCGCCACGGGCTCATTGCGCGTTCACTATCTTGAAGAGTCTCTCCATCAGCTCTATGTATTCCTTATGCGCCTCGCGAAGCTCAAAGGTCTCTACGATGCAGCCACTCAGGCGGCAGCGCAAAGTGTTTCCGAGATTGAGCGCATGCAATTCGACATATCCATCAAGTCCCCTATCATCGTTTTCCCCACGGACGTAGAACGGTCACTGGACGCTCTTGTGTTGCGCCTCGGAGAGCTGAACGCACACAACAGCTTCCAGGGCCCGACAGACAAGATCAATGCCAGCCTTCGAGGCATCAGCTTGTCGTCCACGCTGTCACGTGATGGACAGCCACAGACTTTAAAGATGGTCGAGAATATTGACGCCACCGCGGATGTTACCCAGGTTGCGGGAGTCGACAGAACTAGAGATCTTACTCGTCCTGACACTGCTGTAAGGGTCTCTGTCGCTGCTTGTCTAGATACTCACTCTCTCCTTAAAGGTCAACGTTACCATATCAGACGTCAAGCTGCATCTGACTCAAGTCCAATATGGACTCCTCATGGAGTTGTCGAAGTCGATCCCTCGCGTTCTCGCCGTTCCGTTCACAGACGCTTCCGAAGAGAGTACTTTAGAGTTGGAGAAGCAGATCGCTGTGTCGTCGGACTCAGCAGTCGATCTACAGCCGGAAGTGCAGGCCAACTCTTCAGGCTCCCGGTCATGGCCGACGCTTGACGTGCTCATCACGCTAGAGGTTGTCAAACTGCACCTCTATGATGAGTCTGCATCCTCTGAGCAGTCTCTAAAGGAGCATGGAATTGCAAGGCTAGCGTTGAACTCTTGTACCTTGAGAGGGAAAACATTGTCGGACGGTGCAACTGAGGCCGAAGTCATCTTGAAATCTTTCACGATGAGCAATACTCGCCCCGGGAATACGAAGTTCCGCGAGATCATACCTGCCGCACAACACAATCGCAACCAAGTCATGATTCTCTTCACATCCACCGGCGGCCACGATAATTTATCCATTGCTGTTATCACTGTAGATTCACCGCAGGTGATCTTCGCCGTTGATCCTATCATCGGCCTCCTTGAGTTTTTCACTAGTGCACTTGATGCAGAAAGGCCGGCGTCGCAAGAGGTCATCGGGGAAGAGAGTGACAATGTAGTCACAGTTGCTCAGGCACCCTCTACGATCGACTTCCGTCTAGACCTCCATGATGTGTCCGTCAGCGTTTTAGAAAACGACACCGACGTCAACACGCGCGCTATTCGTCTCAATATCCGGAAGTTATTCTTGTCGCAGCAGGTTAGATTTGTCTTGCTGTGCAAACTCATGCTCTCGCTGACGCTGAAACATGCAGGGTATTCTTGCGCTAAGTGTAGAGCACCTGGGAATGTCTCTCACTCGAATGGGCAAGGATGCAGATACTGTCCGATTCTTGGACGACGTAGATTTCACATTCTCTTTGGACAGCCGCTTCACGGCTACGCATCAGACAACGACCATCGAGATGACCTCCCAGCCCATCGTCTTCCGAGCATCCTATCGCGATATGAACCTCATCACGACTATTGTCAATAGAGCAATTGAACTCTACACCGAATCGGCTCAAAAGCACTCCAAGACGAATGTACCGGACTCGGATGCCCTGGTGCCAGCACGGAGTGTCTATGGCATTTCAACATCCAGGAAGACCACCAGGGCAGCAACACGCTCACGACCTGTCGGTAGCGCAAACGTCGTCCTGACCAAAGAGCAGGTGTGTTGTTTCTGATCCGTGTTTTGGACCATACTCAACATCGTCACGTAGCTCCGGGCTTCATGTGAAGGGTTCCGGCTTATCCTCATCGGCGATCTTCACGAACAGCCGATGCTCCACTTGAAGGTCAAGCCGTTTGTAATGACCGCTAAGGATTGGTCAGCTGAGGTGCGAACACTTCTCGTTTTCCGAAAATTTTCTTACCGTGTTACGCCAGTTACAAGCTACGACGACACTTGCCGTGCACATCAGCTATTGGAATCTCACAAACTCACACTGGGAGCCTCGTGAGTGTAGACTTGTCCCGCAGGTTAACTCGGATAGCCACTGATAGAACATAATGCCCTTAGTGATTGATCCATGGACCTTTACAGCATCAGTAAGACCCTTCTCTAATTTGATCGACACCATGGCCAATTCTCCTGTGACAGATCGTCAAGGACAGTACGTCAGGGGGTCTTGTTGTAGCCTTCTTCGCGAAAGAGAGACTGGATCTGAACCTGAGCATGACCTTCGTCGAACTGGCGCTTGCTACTGCGAAGATGTTCGGTCAGGAAGGCGAGCGGGTTCTGCGGAAAGCCAGAGGAAGCTATGCTCCCTACAAGATCCGGAATCGTACAGGATGTTCCATATCCGTTTGGGCAGATGCGGACGGTAGTACGACAGCACAGGCCAGTGCTATGACAGAGATCCCGCATGACAAGACTATTGACTGGCGCTTCGACGACTGGAAGACGATGAGAGAGGTGAACATCACCCGTTTATGAATTATGCAATGTGCTGATTCAATTTCAGCACGTCTCTTCCACCACTCACAATAGCATTGGTGTCCAATTCATCGGAAAGCAGTGGGACCAAGTCCGAAGTATTCCTGTCGACAGGGAGGGAGAGTTTGCGTTCACACTACGTCCACGAACAGACAAGCTTGCCCACCGCATCGTTTGTGATGTTGTTGTGGAGGACAACGTCAAGATTGTCACTATTCGTTCGACATATAGGGTTGAAAACTACACTCTGTATCCTCTGGAAATCACCTTAGTGGACGAGTTGGGGCGTCCAGTACATGCGTTAGAGAAGATCGGTATGCTCACTGGCTTCGTTGCCGCATCGTATGGTGTTGTTCACACCTCGGTAGCTCCTGGGCAGGACTATACGTTACCCATTGAAGGCATAGGCCAGAACAGGCTCAAGATTCAACCAGATCGTGAGTGGACTCCGTTTGTCATGTCTGAGATACTCACAGTTCCGTGGCAGAGGGCTTCGGGTATAAACCCTCGCCCGCAATTCGATGGGAAGACCTCATATCTCGCAGGAGCTTCGCTGTCCGTTGTCCGCATACAGATCCTCAAGAAGCGGCCTTCCGGTTTCAAGCATGGGTCGATACGGACGTTAAGGAGGCTGTCACTCGGTGAGCTCACATCTGATGCGTATCATGTTTAAACTCAACTCGAGACAGCAAATATCCCAAGATTTCTCTTAAGTTGCGGGCTCCTGTCGAATTGGAGAACTTGCTGCCGTACAACATCGAGTACAGGATCTACGACAAGAACACGGACCAGAATTGGAGAAGCTATCTCCGCAAAGGTGGGGTAATGCCTGTACATTCAGTGGAATTGGGCCACATGGTGTTGTTGAACGTCACGGTGCAAGATGCTGGTATGATTCGTAGCTCGCATCACAAGCCCGCACTTCTGATGCATCTGGATAGTCTTCAAACCGAGCGACTTCTCAATTATCAACACTGATGGCAGTGCCGACTTCGACATTGAGAATCGTCTCACCTTGAGGGATGAGAAAGATCGCAAACTAGACCTCGGACTAAACTACGTGTATGTGCACGAATCTTGTCGCGTATGCGTAGCTCATGGTTCCTTTAGCCGCTATCCGGATTCTGGGGGCTGCTTCAAGGTGCAGATATACTGCCCATACCTGATCGTCAACAAGACCGGTTTGCCGTTCTCGGTGAGACCTTGGCGGGCGAATAGAATAGGTTCTCCTCAAGATGTTGCAGGTGATCTTCGACCAGGTACGCTAGCTGGCTTCGCGTCGCTGTTCAGGTTACTTTGACACAGACTTCGACCAGAGGTACTGCAACGGCCAACACCTTTTAGTAGGTTCAAAGCATGCAATGTACATTCACTTTGTGTACTTATGCGTGCCCGTAGTGCTCTCACACCCGAATGCCCAAGGCAAAGACTTCAGCTTCAAATTTGGCCAATCGATGTGGTCCCAGGTTAGCATTTTAAGTCTTTGGTCTTGCCAAATTGGCTGACTTCTCATTATAGGCGATTGGACTAGAAGCACCCGCTGCAGAGACTCGACTTGTCATCCCTTCCGAATCACGTAGCAATGATGAAATTCATGTCGGTTTGACTTGGTCGGAAGGACTTGGCAAGTACAAGCTCACAAAAGTCATCACTCTCGCACCTCGCTTTATCCTTCGTAACAACACTTCCGAAGATATCTGTTATCGGGAGCACGCGGCTACGCCCAGAGATCGTGGGATTTTGGAACCGGGGAAAAGAACTCCGATGCACTTCATGCGGCAAGGCGACGCGAAGTTATTGACGTTAGCGTTTGCCGGTATCAACGCCCAGTGGTATGTAGTATTCAAATACCCCATACATTGCGCTTCATAGTCTTGCAGGTCCGCCCCGATCAATCTAGAGGATATCGGAAGGGTGCACTTCCGCCTAGTTAGCCCAGGCACTGGACACGTCCATCTCATACGCGCAGAGATGAAGCTTGGGGGGTCTACAATCTTCGTTGTCATATCCCAGGCAGAAGAGTGGCCGTTTACCGTCGAGAACGACAGCGACTACGCCTTCACAGTATACCAGAGAGTTCGTCCTCAGGGTGTTACACACGCTAGTGAGATAGCCTTGATAACATACTCTTTAGGATTTGGACCACCCCGAAGGACCGACGGGCAGCCGAACGGTACCGGCCTACAAGATAGCGAGCAAGTCGATATTCAATTATGCGTGGGATTTCCCGGCCTCGAGGGAGAAGAAGCTGGTGCTTGATGTGTACGGTGCGGGCATTCGTCGTGCCCTGGACATCTTGGAGATCGGTGCTCTTGTGCCCTTCCGATTTTCTGTGAGTTTGCTTGCCTTCGTCATCTACTGGTAGAATAACTGTCTACTTAGACCGGACAAGGCACCCGGATCGTTTCGTTAGACGTCAGGGCTGAAGGCTCTAAACAGGTTCTAAGGATTTCCAACTACAACGCGCAAGTCAGCCTGTACAAGCCCACTAGCCGTCGCGCCGGGTCGGTCACTCAGCTCGACGTGGCCGCTACGACTGGGAGTCAAGAGGGTTTCGAGGCAGTTCAGGAAGAAGTCTCGTCTTCATTGGCCATCAATGTGGATTTCGAAGGTATTGGTCTGTCACTCGTCAACAGGAAGGCTGTAGAAGTCGTCTACATGTCTGTCAATAGCCTGAAGTTTGAGTACACCAATAGCCCGGTTGCGCAGGCCGTCAATATCGTCTGTGGAAGCCTCCAAATCGACAATCAGCTCCATGATGCACTGTTCCCTGTCGTCCTTCAGCCAACACCCATTTCCAAGGATTCAAGCACAGTGGCATCGCCACCAACCTTGCAGGGCTCTGTTATATGGTTGAAAGATGAAGGTGACCACCGCACGTCTGATTACCTCGGAGACAATACTAAAAGCTTTTGCTAGCTCATGGCGTCACTTTCGTAAAATACTGCTCGATCTTGGTACAAGCATTGACTGTGCAAGCGGACGAAGACTTCCTGTACGCACTCTTCGACCTTACTAAAATCAAGGGCGCTCCTTGGGATGAGGTGCAAGAGGAGTAAGTTTGAACGCTACCTCTTTGATAGGCGGATTCTAACTCCACGCTACAGTGTGCTGATAGCCCAGCCAGACGAGGTTATCGAACCCGAAGATACTGCGGAAGGCCAGGAGCTCTACTTCGAAGTGCTAGAATTGCAGCCTATCCAACTGGCCATATCTTTCATGCGCACGGAAAGGGTTAGCAGTGATGAGCAGTGAGTGGAACAAATACGAATACACGCTCGAAGCAGATCTCTCATGATTGCTAGGCTGGCGATTCGTAATCCATTCGCTGTGGTACTGAACGCAATTACTATGGCGGTGGGCAACATCAACGAAGCGCCACTCGAGATGAATGCCCTTGCTATCAAAGACATGAGGCTTCGATTGCCTGAGCTCCAGAGCCGTATCATGTATCACTATCGTCAGGAAGTCTTGCGCCAGCTGTACCGTATCTTGGGCTCTGCCGACTTCATCGGAAATCCTGTTGGTCTCTTCACTAACGTCAGTTCGGGGGTCGCGGACATCTTCTACGAGCCCTTCAACGGCGCAGTCATGCATGGTAACCAAGAGCTAGGTATCGGGATTGCAAAGGTATATTTTTCCCCTCACTTGGTTTTATTCGTTGCTAGAGCGAATCACACAGGGTGCGGCAAGTTTCGTCAAGAAGACCGTGTTCGGCGTCTCAGATAGCGTCACGAAATTTACTAGCAGTGTTGGAAAAGGTACGGTCCCGATGCGAGTATAATCCTCAGCTTGGTGCTTATCAACTACAGGCCTTTCTGCGGCAACGTTTGATTCTGAATACCAGATGCGCCGGAGGATGACGCAACGACGAAACAAGCCCAGACATGCGATGTGTGTAGTATTATCAGTTGGATGAGAACCTGACTGACTGGCCCGTAGCTATGGTGTCGCTGCTGGAGCTGAAGCATTTGCCAGCAGTCTTGCCAGCGGCGTGGAAGGAGTTGTCGTATGTCCTAATTGGCACATCGTAGACAACATATCTAACCGTGCCCACAGCTCAAGCCTATCGAGGGCGCGGAGAACGACGGCGCTCGCGGATTCTTCAAAGGTATAGGCAAAGGTCTCGTCGGGTATGTTGTAGCCCCTCTCACAAGACCTCCGCTCACGAACATGCCATCAGAGCTGTGACAAAGCCTGTCATTGGCGTCTTCGACCTGGCTTCAAATGTTAGTGAAGGCATTCGAAATACTACGACAGTCTTTGACAATCCCGCAAGGGATCGTGTGCGCTCTGTGAGTCCTACCAGTCTTTAACTCGTTTCTTGTCCTAAACATTGCCTCATTCTAGCCTCGACTTGTTCCAGCGGATGGCGTTCTCGTGGTATGTCTGGATTTACATATTGTGCGGCATTCGTATCAACCCTTATCAACAGCCGTTTTCCCAACGTGAGGCTTTGGGTCAGTATTGGATGAAAGACCTGGAAAACGGCGCCTATCGCAAGGAAAACTACGTTGCTCACATCAGTGCGTGCCCGTGAAGTAGCATAGTGAGAAAGGGGCACCATTAACTCTGAGACAGATCTCCCTGGCGGAGACAACGTGGTATTACTGACTACCTCTCGAGTGATCTCGTTCGCCTCTAGCAGACTACGCGTCGATTGGCAGCTCCCCTTCACGCAGGTGCAAGGCGTTACAATCGAGGACACTGGGATTCGCTTTGCGCACAAGGGCGGCAAGGAGCATGATCGTTTCGTGTACATTCCAGACAAGGCCTCGCAGACTTGGTTCTTCGGGCAGGTCGCATCTGTGGTCAAGGCTTTCAATGCGCAGCGTCGAATCGACTCATAGCTACTTTCGACATTGTACTGTAGACAGTGGACGGACAAGAAGTGTGGTGCTAGGATATTTAACAGTGTATAGAAGTTGGTATAAGTATAGGAAGACCGAGGGACAATGGTCGAACATGATAGTATGTGGGGTGAGGTAAGCTAGCTAGGCCGTCGCAGTTGGAAAGCGAAGAAGGAGCGAGCGGACCTATATGGCGGCCCAAGTCAAAAAATACATTGAAGAATAAATACTCCGAATTAAATCTTTCCAATAGGAGAGGTAACCACGGTATCTTCGCTGTCCCTGTGGCGAGTCTTGGTATCCTTCGCTGTGACCGTGCTCGACGTCCGGCCTCTATATGGGCGTCCCAAGTCGACAACGTATTCTTTGGTGGTCGGTGTACCCAGTTCGCTGTCGCTTGCCTCGGTTTTTACGGAGAACTGCTCGAAGCTGCCATAGCTATGACGAGGACTAGTAGAATAGGCGCTCTGATAATCGGCCTCGTCGTCCGTAACCACACTCGTTCCGTTAGTCGTCGACGGCGTTAAAGGCGCAATAACCGTCGGAGAAACCGGAGACCCCGGACCAAGAGCTGACAAGTTAGCGTCTGTATAGAGACTGCCTAGCTTGGTCGAGTCGTCCTCGCCGATAGGATGGATATTTCGCTTGAGCTCACCGACAGTAGTCTGTCTGTCTTCAGACCTGGAAGACTCAAGGTGGTCATCGCCCTGGGTGGAGCCATTCGGCCTAGCGTCGGTGGAGCCGCGACTGGTAGTGCTACCAGTACTTGTTATCCGCGCGTGTTCGGTGGTCCTGCTTGAAGCTCGACTGCCGTGACGACGATAGCGGCGCGTGGCCTCCGAAAAATCGCTGTCGCTTCCGCGACTATCGAGGGAGACTTTGCGCGCAGCATCAGCAGCCAGCGCATTCTCAAGCTGTTGGGCGACGTGAGCATCACATGGTGATCAAAATCGAGTAGACGTGCCTTGCGCTGAATCTGTATGACCTTTTGCGCAATCTTGTCAGTCTTCAAGTTAATGCCTTCATCGACTGCAGTCATGGTGTCCTGATCACCCCGACTGGTAGAAAACCTCTTTTTCTTCTTGCTCCTCGCATCCGATTCCTCGGGCTCGTCCATCTCCGGGACTGTACTGGTCCTGTGCGGATGCTTGCTCAGCCCCTCCTCCCTCAGCGCACCGACGGAGTACGACTCTGCTAGCGTCGAGTCCGTGCTGAACGACCGCAGCGGCCTCGAGCGGGATCCGCTCCGACGCATGTTCGGAGCGGAACGGGACGACATGCGGCTGACCGGACGAGAGCCATACTCAGACTCATCCATGTCGACTGCCATCGACGCCAGCGCCCTCTCAATTTGCGCCTCAACCTCCGCAATCATCTCCGCCCTCTCTATTTCCATCCTCTCCATCGCCCCCTTCATGTGCTCAAGTTCTTCTAGAGCTTCTTTATGGGCCATTTCCGTCTCCTTGAGCTCTGTGCAACATTTCATTAGCATGAACGAAATCTCATCAATGCCAAGACACTAACGGGCCTGCAACTTCGTCTTCTCCACCGCCGTCATTGTAACCATGCTCGATAGCCTCTTCGTCTCCTTCTGCTCCTTGTTAATTTTGGTACGGAGCTCGCCAGCTTCTGTGCTGAGCTTCTCAGCGTACTGCTCAAAGGTGACAAACTTGTCACGCCAGAGATCGGACTCAGTCATCAAGAAGTTAAGGCGGCGGGACAGTCGTCCGATCTTAGTCTCTAGATCGTCACGGGCATCGACGAAAGCTGTCGCCCGCTTGCGAATGGAGAGCTGAATGTGTTGCTCGGCTTGAGTCAGGCGCGGTGGCGGACGAACCGCCCCAAAGGAGCTAATACGTTTGAGCAGCGACGGTTTCTTCATCTAGAATAGCGCATACGATCAGCCACGTAAATTAGAATGACCAATCAGACACACCTTGTCCTGCAGGACACTGTCAAACGCTTGAATGACGCGTGTCGAATGCCACCATTCTGGGGGCTTAATCATATCGGCTACAGCGGTGGACGCGGCACCGCGCTTCGCTTGAATCTTGCAGACAGGACGGAAACGGCCTGCTGGGAACGCCTCCTTGAACTCACTCGGCACACAGTGATCGGGGTGGTAGTGGGGCTCAAAGGCAGCAAGAAGCTTCTGACGGTACTTGTCACGCTGCTGCTTGGTTGAAATGCTGCCAGGGGGTGGCGACGCGCAGTTAAGGTAGTTGATGTCCCTGTGGGCGGAGTCAGCGGCTGATGGTGCAGCGATCAATGCGTAGACTCACAGGTCAACAATGCAAACCTCAGGTGGAGGCCGAACGGCATAGCGAGCCTCAGTAGCGAGACCCATGATCCACGGACCAGGATCGTCGATATAGATCTTTGCGTCGCGCGAGTGAACAGCAGTGAGAGCGATGCCACTCCAACTGCGGAGCTCAACCAGGTATTTGATGGTCATGACCGCAATGCCAAGCATAGCAGGGTGACGCGAGAAAAAGAGGACACGACCCGTCGGAGACAATGCAATCTATACCGTACCTTTAACAAGCGACGAAAAGGAATGTAATTGCAACATACCTCGCATATAGTTAGAATGTTGTCAATATTGAGGCACTTGAACAGCGGCCACATAGTGAAATTGACATCGACGAGACCACGACCGAAGTCCAATCCTCCCGGGAAACGAGCGACGACCTCTAAGCTCGTCTCTGACTGCCCTGCGCCATGGCTCGGTGCAGAAGACGCATCAAGACGGATGAGCTCGCCGGGTCGAGGCGCAGGGTGTGAGAGGACCTTGCTAATCTGCAAGGTATGTGACTGCACGTCCTTAGAGAAGCGAGCCCAAGAGAGCGTCAAGTAATCCCGCATCAGGTCGTAGATAGGGAACCGCGACACCAAGGCTGCAAAATGAATGATTAGCCTGCTCGAAACACAGAGTACATAGAGCACATACTGAGCGCGTACGGAAGCCAGAATACGGTGTCGCCAGGCAAGAACAGTGTGCTCTCACCGGGTCCATGACTCATCGCGCTAGCAACCTCGAAGTCGCTCTCGCTAACCATACCGTCGGCGTCGGCGTCGGTCTCTCCCCCATCCATATCTGTCTCAGCATCAGTTCCGGCACCCCAAGGGCCTCGGGACTTCGCCCTCTTCCTAGCTTGGCGAGTCGGGTCAGACCTCACACTGGTCCTGCTCTTGACCCGAGAGGGCACCAAGCTGTTGGCGCTTTCCTTTCGCGACCGGCTCGCCTCCAGAGTCTTTCGGATGGCAGCTGTGCGTTCGGCGTCGGCGTGGGACCAGACTGTTAGACAAACACCGTGGTATGTGATATTATTATTTGAACCACCGACGAGTGGTGTCTTCGCGCTTGCTAATCCACCAAGACCGCCAATTGGCGAAGCATGGCCGTGCGGTGACAACAGGGAATTGGAGGGGCCGATGTGCGCCGAGGAAGGGCGTGCACGACCGAAGGGATCGTCCGCATAGGGATACGGGAAGGTGACCACGGAGGAGCGCGGGTCGGTGGTCGATGTCAGCACAGAGGCGCGCAACAAATCGGTCGAAGCCGACGGGGCAAGCGGAGTCGACGGCGCAGGTAGAGTGAAAGTGAAGGTGTGAACTGTAGATGCGGGTTGCAACGTCGAGGCGATGATCTCGACTTCACGCGGGAACGACAACTACGACGGGCAAGCTGAGCTTTGTTATCAGCGGTCAATGTCCGGAACGTACCTTGAGTGCCTTGGAGAGCATCTTTCCAACATCCTGCTTGCTGAGATGTCCCTGGCTACTGAAAATAGTGCTCGTGTCGTCGGACTTGCCTCTTCGCTTCTTCTTCCCGCCGCCAGCACCAGGACTTACTGTGCTGCCCAACACTTCGGGCCTCCACCATCTGCTCACCGCCCCCTCGCTGTGATGCAAACCTAGCACCGAGTCCGGGTCGGCGAGTGTCCATGTATGCGGGCTCTTGGGCAGGCCAGAGACGACATAGAGAGACGCCAACGGCAAAATGGGCCCGGAGCTGGGCGCCGACGCATTATCTGGCGCAGGAGCAGAACGGACGGACGCGACAGACGCGCGATTCGAAGCAGGGATAGGTTCCATGCTCCTGCGATGCCTGATACCGAGCACCCTCGACGCTTTGTCGCGGGGTACGATTTGGTTAGACTCTTCGTGCTCGGGATGCTCGACGTTCACGTAGTCCGGCTCGTCGTCCAAGTCGTCACCCACACTGTTGACGGAGTCGCCGTTGTGGGAGTCTGAGCGTGCCTTGAGATGGTTGTTGGGAGAGGTAGAAAGAGTGATGATCGGGTCAGGTGCAGGGATGGCTCGAGATGTGTTCCTGACGCCGGACGAAGTTGGTCGGGGAGGCGTGTGACCGCTGCTTGCGCTTAGCATGCTGTAGTTCGACTTTTGCGTTGGCTTGCGGCCGAGGTTAGCTAGGGGGCCGGCGTGGTCGACCTCTTCCTCTCCAACGTCCTCTGAGAAATACAACTTCAACTTCTCGGAGATGGGCGAGGTCGCGGGTGGTGAGGTCGAGGCGGAGTGTACCGTAGAGGGTCGAGTGCGACTGTAGCCCAGCATTTTAATGAATCAGGACCGTTGTTGTGCTGAAGGAGATGAAGACGAAGCTGATTACAGGGAGCGTATTAAGTGGAAGAGAGGAAGGAAAGGAAAAGAGGGTGGGGAAAGGCGCAAAGGCAGCCTTGGAGGTGGAGAATGAAGATGGACTGTGGCGGTCGCTGAGCGTGCGTTGAGAACGCTGACATATGCTCAGGGCGGTTCGTCGTGGAGCGAATCCTCCGGCCCACCTGTAAAATATGTTTCCCGCCATCACTCGCTTCTAGTGGACATCACGTAAAAGACTGTTTCTACATTCAGAAGACCATTACAATCGTGTTCAGGGTAGAGCAGCTAGCAACACCCGTCGTGAGCGACGTCACCGAGGCGACCAAACGTCTTCTCGACACCGTCCGCCGCGCTGACCTCGAGAGGAAGCGGGAGCGGAAAGCGTCCGCGCAGATCCTCCGTATTGCCTTTTTTGAAAAATCTAAGCGGATCAATATTGCATAGGAGGCGCCCATTTTCGTAGATTTTCGTCTATTTTCGTGCCTCGAAACCATGTCTTGCTTGCTGGGCGGCTCTGGAGTCGGTACAACCGCCGTCGATGCCGGTTATAGAGTCCTTCGTTCTGTGCGATGCTGCCTTGGCTCTGCGCGAAAAGGCCTTGCAACACCGATATCACCGAGCTCAACACAAGCTAGCGCATCTCGTGCGTAGTCCAGACTTACTCTGCTCTGGAGCCATGTGGACACGGTGCTTCTCGATGCCTGGTATGGCGTAGCGGCTTTATCGGCAGATTTGCTTCATTGTACTTGGGCTACAGCAGTGCCCTAAGCACCCGCATATCTTCACACGAAGCTGGCAAAATGATATGTGTGAGAGACAATTTCTTCGGATGTGCAGATGTAATACTACACCGTCTTTGGGGTTCTCCTTCTGTGGGTCTACGGTCATTGTACATCAGAAGGTGCAAAACCCATGAGTTCGACAAGGCTCCCCTGTCAGCTGGAGTTGAATGGGATCATCTTTCGCCAAGAGACAACCTGTGCGGTGAAGAGTCAGCTCAGCTGAGTCGCAGGCCGCAACACATGCTACGACAGCTCATCTCCGTTGAGAACTTTTTCACGCGTCTTACTTACAAGAAGGCCTGGGACCCGCATAGACCGGGACACTGCACGCATGCCTCCAAACTAGAATATTCGCCCGCACTTCCCTGTCGGATCGCCCGCCCTGTAAAGGGGCATGAACTTTCGAGAGTGCCTGGTTGCCAGTGCCCTTGAAGGCCGTGTCTGCTGCTGCGCTGTATCACATACGTACAGCACCTACTTTCTCCCAGCTTTGTGCAGCTCGCCAGCACCAGTGGGGGTCCAAATGCAAGGCGGTCTGAACAGTCACGTGGTCTGTAGCGCCTCAAAGTGGCGCGACTCCGGATTCGGAGTCCGGAAACGGCAACCCCAGCATGCAGCTGTGACCTGACTCAAACCAGGCTTGCGATGTCCCATTCCATGACTCTCGACGCAGACGACCCTCACATCTCTATACCTCTTGGAATCACTGTCGGACTCTTATGTTCCTTCATACAATCTCTTGGCTTGACCATCCAGCGCAAGAGCCATGTACAGAATCAGGCGTTGCCAGAGTCTGAACAGAAAGTGGAACACCGCAGACCGTAAGTCCTGCACAGCCACATGCGTCTGTAGTTCTGGCTCACGACACTCCGTCTCCACGCAGACTTTGGCTCTTAGGCTTTGGTCTGTACACACGCCTATCATCTCCGTCGAGTTTCGCTGATCACTGGCCTCGTGTCCCTTCTAGGTATCTTCATCTCGTCAAACCTCTTTGGATCTATATTCCAGATTGCCTCGTTACCCGTTGTCATCCTCGCCCCGCTTGGGGCTGTCTCGCTTCTATGGAACGCATTTTTCGCTCGTTTCATCTTGGGAGATGTGTTCTCGCCGTGGATGGTTCTCAGCACCCTCTGTATAGCTGGCGGAGCCGTTTTGATCGCTGTCTTCGGTATCGTACCTGAACCGACGCGCTCCTTGGAAGACCTCCTGGAACTATTCAGCAGGCCCACATTCATTGTCTACTTCTCGTTGCTAGGCGTGTTTACTGTTGTCTGTCTGGCGATCGTGAGCATTCCCCTTCTCGTCCATTTATTTTGACTGGATCTGTCATTTCAGACTCATGCAGTGGAATACACCTCCTCGAGACGTATTGCGCTGCCCGCAGATACACCTCCGTTGTCTCCTCTTCTCGTACCGACCTCCGACCCCACGGTCTTGACCAATGCTGCGATACCCAATGCGAGCGTTGAGGGACAGAACCATAACGCAATTGAAAGCTCGCCTCTCCTCGACCCGAAATCCTCTCGCACATCATCCTTGTCCCCACCAGTGTCCCTATCCTCTTACATCTCGTTATCCCACACACCTCTCTTCCTCGCAATGTCATACGCTTCCTTTTCCGGCATCATCTCGGGAATGTGCCTGCTTCTGGCCAAGAGCGGAGTCGAGCTACTCGTCTTGACCATCGCCGGCAAGAACCAGTTTTGGCGATGGCAGTCCTGGGTCCTCGTCCTTGGCCTAGGTATATGCGCGTTGCTACAACTATGGTACATGCACAAGAGCCTGGTGCTTGCAGACCCGACTCTAGTCTGTCCACGTACGTATTTACGATCCAGTCACTTTGCGAGCACATCATCTGACCTCCAGGTTCATAGTCGCATTCTGTTTCTACAATCTGTCTTCCATAGTCAACGGTCTGATCTACTTCAACCAATTTCAGCTGCTCTCGACGACCCATCTACTTCTCGTCGTGCTGGGAATTGTCGTTCTCCTTGCTGGTGTATGGATTGTATCATTCCCTCCGAGTGGCTCACATCGGGTCGACCTATCGCACTGGGACGAGTCCGAGGGCGAGGAAGACGAGGAGTTTGTCCGTTACGAAGATGAGCCTCTGCCCATGGCTGGGACTCTCCATCCAGACGATGAAGAAATCGGGTTGGGCAGAGTATCCACTTCTCGCGAGCGCCCTGCGTCGGAGCCCCCACTGTTGGTCGATCTGGGAAGCGACGACGAAGGCGAGCATTGTGCGGCAACCACCGAACCGCCCGTGGAAAGTTCCGTGCACCTTTCGCCGAGGAGCAATCACCGCGACAAGTTTCATGCGCGGAGACAAACAGACTCTGCGCTGTTGTCTTCCCACTATGGCGTCGCCCCGACACTATCGCCGACGCGGCCGACACATCCCCTCCAGCACTCTCCGTCGCGGGCAAGGCACCGAATCACGGTCGGGCATCACAGCACGCTTGGCCCCCTCTCGCCGCGGCACGGCCACAGCACTCACACGTACCCACTCTCGCCCGGCGCGCCGAGCGGGTTCTCCATCGGTCTCTCGCCGATCAGCCCAGGGTTTTCTCTTGTCCCTGCAGATCGGATACCGAGGCGGCGGCGGGTGACGAGCCTGACGAGCGTGGATGCCGCCGCGGACGTCTTTGGCGGTGGCCGCCACAGCAGGCCGGTGCGGCGCGTGATCAGCGAGGGAAGCGGAGATGATTTGGCGGGTTCGGGAGAGTGGAGGGCCGACGTCGAGGGACAGCAAGGACAGGCAAGCGAAGGTAGGGAACAGAGTAGCAATGGACAGAGAAGTGCAAGGGGACGGTGGAAGTGGGTTTCTGGCGTGCTGGCCTTTAAGCGGCAGCGATGAGCCATCTAGTTCCCTATATATATCCGGATATCCAGACTCACAATATCATTTGTAAGTTAACTTATCGCATCCTTTCTTAAATTTCATTCAGACAATGTACGCATATAACACATCGGATATCGTACAAATGTGATTGACTATAGAGCACTACTTTTTCTCTCCACGTTCAGAAAGCTGTTCGCCGAACTGTGAAGTTTATGGTAGGTTAAGCGCTTGACCATGGCTAAGATACTTTTCGTTCAGGGTCTAATTGCTATCGTTACATCGAATGAAGCTATGGTACAATAATCTCCACATGACATGATCTACATTAAATTACAGAAAATGTTGCTGTCCTCTGCACTGTGTACTTTTAGTCCATTTCCTCAATCTCAATGTCGTCGTCGACATCGTTCCAGTCAACGTCCATGCCTTCAGCCTGGTTGCCCTCATGATTCGGAATGATAGCCAGCCTGTTGTGTGGGCCGTCAAACTTGACCTGGACGGTCTCGCCAGGGAGGACTTGCTCGGAGAGGATCATGACCGAGAGCGGGTTGAGCAGGTCTGTCTGGATCGCGCGGTTGAGCGGACGCGCGCCGTACTGCGGCGAGTAGCCGATCGAGACGAGGTACTGCTTCGCCTCGTCGTCGAGCACGAGCCGCATCTTGCGGTCCTCGAGGCGCTCTTGGACCTCCGCGAGCCGGAGGTCGACGATCTTGAGTATGTTCCGGCGCGAGAGCGCGCGGAAGACGACGATGTCGTCGATCCGGTTCACGAACTCGGGCGGGAAGTGCGCCTGGATCGCGCCCATGACAAGCTGCCGCGTCTGCGGCTTCACAGGCCCGTCGCCCATGTCGTTCAGGAAGGACGCGCCGAGGTTGCTCGTCATGACGATGATCGTGTTCCGGAAGTCGACGACGCGGCCCTGGCCGTCCGTCAACCGGCCGTCGTCGAGGACCTGCAGGAAGAGCTGCACAAACTCTCGGGACGCCTTCTCGATCTCGTCGATGAGCACAACCGAGTACGGTTTACGGCGGATGTACTCGGTGAGCTGACCACCCTGGTCGTGGCCGACGTAGCCTGGTGGAGCACCGATGAGACGAGCGATAGAGTGTTTCTCCGAGTATTCAGAGCCGTCGATACGGATCATGGCCTCTGGCGAATCAAAGAGCACAGTCGCGAGCTATAAAAGAACCAAGTTAGTATCATGGTCAAGAAGTCCGAGGTAAGGCATGAACTTACCGTCTTGGTCATCAAGGTCTTACCGGTACCAGACGGACCTGCGAACAAGAAACTTGCAATAGGACGAGCCGCGTTTCGCAAGCCAGACCGACTGAGACGAATGGCGTTGGCAACAGCCTTGACGGCCTCAGGTTGACCGACCACACTCTCCGCAAGGATTTTCTCCATCCTCAATAGCTTCTCCTTCTCCGTCGACATCAACCGAGTCACTGGAATGCCGGTCCAGCGAGCAACAATCTCGGCGATCTGGTCGGGCGTGACTGTATCGCTTCCCCCCTCGGCCTGCTCTTCTGCCCTCTTGGCTTCGAGCCTTTCCAGGCGGGTTTGGAGGTCGGGCAGAGCGTAGTACCGGAGGTCGGAGGCGGTTGCGAGGTCGTAACGGCGCTCGGCTTCGTCGGCCTTGGCCTTGAGCTCGTCGATCTTCCTGCGAACCTGGTTGACTTCTTCACCGCGGGCCTTCTCAGCTTCATACTGCGCAAGGAGCGGCTGGAGCTGGTCGCCAACGTCGGCAATCGCCTTGCGCGCGATCTTGAGACGCTCTTTCGAAGCTTCGTCCTTCTCGCGCTCAAGTGCATGGATCTCAACCTCGAGCTCGAGCTTGCGGCGCTGGAGCTTGTCGATAGCTTCGGGAGAAGTCTCACGGGTGACACGAACACTGGAAAGCAAAAGTTAGCAATGGAAGGGCACACTATGAAATGAAGGTCTGCTTACCTAGCGCACGCTTCATCAACCAGGTCGATGGCCGAGTCAGGGAGACGCCTTGATGTGAGATAGCGGTGGGCGAGGGTCGCAGCTTGAATCAAGGCACCGTCGAGGATGCGGACACCGTGGTGGACCTCGTACTTCTCCCGGATGCCACGGAGGATGGAAATGGCCTCGAGAACGCTTGGTTCGTTGACAAGGACTTGAGCGAACCGACGTTCGAGAGCGGCGTCCTTCTCAATGTACTTGCGGTACTCGGCGAGGGTGGTTGCGCCAATGCACCGCAGCTTGCCCCGAGCGAGGAGCGGCTTGAACAGGTTTGCGGCGTCCATACCTCCGCCTTCTGAGCCGCTACCGGCCATGATCAGGTGCAGCTCGTCGATGAAGAGGATAATGCCGGTGCCTTCGTCAGCTGCCTTCTCGACTTCGTTCAGGACGGACTTGATACGCTCTTCGTATTCGCCCTTGTACTTGGCACCAGCCATGAGAGCACCCATATCGAGCGAGTACAGGCGCCCAAAGAGAGAAGCGGGAACGTCGCGGTTGACGATACGCTGAGCAAGACCTTCTGCAATGGAGGTCTTACCGACGCCGGGTTCACCGATTAGAACGGGATTGTTCTTTGTCCTATTGAAAACGCGTTAGAATTCTGGGCGAGAGCTCATGGTGGGGAATTTACCTTCTGCAAAGGATGCGAATGACGCGGCGAATTTCGTTGTCACGACCGATAACAGGATCGATCTTTCCCTCTGCAGCCATTGCAGTGAGATCTGTGGCGTACTTGTTGAGCGCGTCAAAGCCCTGCTCCGCGTTCTTGCTATCTACGCGGCGATTACCCCGAATGGCGTCGATCTGGGTCTTGAGCGCGGCCTCAGTCAGCCCAACCTCCTTGAGGGCCTGGGAGATGGACGATTCTTTGATAGTGGCAAGAAGGAGGTGGTCCTGAGCAATGTACGAGTCGTGCATTGTCTTCTGTATCGACTGAGCTTCCCGGAGGATCTTTGTGGCCGCTGGACCGAAATTGACCTCATCAGGCGCGGGTTGCTGAGAGGGAGTGCGGACAATGATCTTGTGGAGAGCCCGTTGCACAGTAATCTACAGACAATGGTTAGCCGAGTTTTGACAACAAGACTCGAGCATGATATACTTACAGGATCACCGCCTGCTTTTTGAATGACAGAGGTAAACAGTGAGTGTCCGCCTTGCTGCCCTGCACTCTCATTCAATAGCGCAAAAGCTATATGAGCGGGGATAACTGTGGATAACGGTGGTTAGCTTAGAACTCCCGAAATTGAGAGTCGATAGGAATCGATGGGAGATGAACATACCTTGAGAGTTGCCGTAATCCCTGGCAATCTGGACTGCAGCGGCAATGGTTTCTTGGGTCTTGTCGGTGAATTCCATGGAGGAGGCCATGATGTTGAAAACACGAAAGATAGATCAAGAGCGAAAGCAAAGAAAGCGGAAAGGTGCTGTAAGGTGAAAGTGGGTATCAAGTGCTTGATGGGTGTGCCCTTCAAGGAGGATGTTTAAGTAGTCCGCAGACCATGGTTTGACGTCAAGGCTGAGGTAGGCAGAGCGGTTTCTCGACTGGCCTCTGTGGCCGCCGCACCTTCCAGGCCTTTTCCCGTTCCATCCACCGAATCCCACAGAATCCCGGACGGCGCCACACCGGCCTCCAAGGCGCTCGCACCCGCTCGCACTTTCCGGCGCCTTCTCCCCTCTTCTCCCGTTTCTCACGGCCCATCCCTCCGGCGTCTGTCCAGCCCAAAGCGGCGTCTCGCTGTTGTGGACGTTCACCAGGCCGCCATGCTCTCCCGCCAAGCTATCTCGCGCCTCGCCAGGCCGCTCACGCGTCTCTCTTCTGGCACTTCGGTTGCTGTTCCGCCAGTAGAGCCCAAGCAGGTCGCCCCGCAAGCACCAAACTACCCTACTACATGGTCCACTACCCAAGCACCCCGGCCCTACGGCCAGTCAGGCCCCCGTTTTGAACAAACCGCTATGGAGCTCCAGCCAAACCCTCTGAGTGCAATGCAGATGATTGCGGAGGAGCCCATTCGTGTCGTTCATGGCAGGAAGGCCGTCTGTGACGGGGGTACGCTTTCGTAAACTCGGCGGCATATCTCGACGCTAAACACGTCTACTCCCTAGGCGTTGGTCCCTTGGGACACCCAAAGATCTTCATTAACTTGGTATGCCTCCTCGTACATGTCTTTATGCTTTAATCTTACGCTTTAACAGGACAAGCCAGGTCCGCAACCATGCGGGTATGTCATTCAAGCTTCACCGCGTCCTCGTTCTAAATGTTTGCCATCTGGCCTCGTTTTCATAGCTATTGGTAAGCAATCTTTAAGCTCGTGCATCACTTCACGTCATGCACCATACTCACATCTCATGCACAGCGGTCTCCGCTACGAGCGGGCCCCTCACCACGGTCATGAACACTAAGTCCTCGTGTATTCTTCAGTTCATTACCTGGTTGTCCAATAGATCACATGCGGTTTCTCATGAGAGAAAGAACTTCGCTGCAGATCGTGCCAGAAATACCTTAGGGGGCCTCGCGGTATCTTGCTCCGAGCCTCCTCTTGACCAGTACGACACCCGGAGAGGCATTCGTTTAAGCTTCCATGGCTTTAGGCCTCCTTCTCCGCCGCGCACAGCTCACGTCACTGATGCCCACAGATCTAACATTTCCCCCGTCCCACGATCTAATGTCTTCGATGGCGAACGCGCTCATATACCCTCTTACGGCCGCCTCCTGTTGCGCCGCAGTCCGTTTCATGTCAGAGGATCTCTGTCGAAGATGCACCTCAGATCGGCACGGCCATGCTTCTCGCTGTCCCACTCCTTTTTCCGGGCTGGCAATGTCACATCTGATGGTAGACATGTCTCCTTGAAGCGACGGCGACTGAACAGCGTTGGCATACCTCGCAAGCTCAGTTGGGGCTTCTCTTTGTTTACACACATGTCGGAGATGTCCTTCGAATGCGCAGCGGGAGGGATGTGTACAAATACAGATATTCTAGGATAAATTTGCCTCGCCGCATCCAGTCCAGGAATACTAGGAGAGAGCGAATAGTGAGGGAACAGTACAATATGAACACAATCGGACAACGCTCAAGAATAGTTCGTGAGGGTGAGTCAAAGGGGCAAAGGAGCCGAGGCGTGGAAGAGCGAGACTGAGTCCCGATGTCACGGACGCGTACAAGACTAGCGGCGGCGCGCCAGATGCGTCTGCGAGCAGGATATACAATATATGCGTGTGCGAGAATGATGAGAGGACTGCCGTTTAACGATGAGGGTGCGGGAGTGCGACAGAGCGTGGACAGTGTTTGTGTGCGTGTGGGAGAGACGAGACCGCAGGCGAGAATCGGGAGTATGTACACAGGATGTTAAGACACAGGCCGGCCGTCGGTAGCGGGCAGAAAGGTGCGGGAACCCTGAAGCACATGCTTGCGAACTCCCCGGCGAGCAGACAGCAAATAGAAGCAAGTAAAAAATACCATCACCAGACGGCTCCGATGAAGAAATAGCCCGACATAAGTTAAAAACGGGATATGCGAATGATGAAGGAGTGACGTGTTGTGGTCCGGAATGCCGGAATCCTATAATGATATAGAAGGCAAACTGCGATGGAGACTGCGGAAGCAAGGCATACTAATTGTCGTCTCCTGAGATATCTTCCTCAGGTATGGTGAAAGACATTGGCGACAGAGGTGGATATTCGCCACCATCTGCTACCGCCTCCAGTTGCGAGAATGGCGGTAGTGAAGTGAGGCTCAGGGTCGGCCGCTCGGGCGAGCTCGAGAACGATGGCTGTCCATGAGGACCTGTAAGTAAAGCGGCGCCAGAAACAGCAACGATGACACGTACCACTTTGAAGATGGGATTAATGGCGGACTTCGGTGCCATACTGGGACTGGGCGGCCCATACACACCTCCCAGTGTATCGTAAGGGCTCTGTGGGCCTAGCTGGAACCCTGGATGCCTCGGTTGCGGTGGCGGCGATAACGGCGAAGACAGCTGGTGTTGTCTCGACGACCCGATACTCCGATTATCAACCGTTGACGTCCCTGACAGGTCCGAGTGCGAATTCTGCCAGGGAATGGGCGACGACAGTGAGAGCATGTGCATCGGCGGTGGCTGCGGCGAGCCGCCATCAGAGATAGATGATGAGTCGACAGATGCCCGGAGGTGGAAGTCGTTCGCGAGCTGCTGCTCGAGCGAGAATGAAGTCGAAGAGCGCCCTGATGTGGAGAAGTCGTCCGCGGCGCTACGGAGGGAGTTGACCGAATGCATGCGACTCATGCCCTGTGGACCCAGACGGCTCATGCGACCTGGTCCTGGATCGCTGTCCACTGTAGCCAAAGAGATGACGGATGCACGACCATGTAAGTCTGAAGACATTGAGTGATCGTCGTCAAAATCTCTCCGCCTCGCCTTGCGCAGACGTCCGCTCTCGCTTTGCCGGTCGACGCGGGTGGACGTACTCTCCTGGGCACTCGAGATGACAGGTGACGCTGAGGACCCCACGTAGCTGCCCGATGCAGCATTGATAGTAAGTCTGCTTGAGCTGTAGTTCTGTGCTTGTCGTATGGGTCCTGGGCCGCTGGATGCGGGCTGTTTCCCCTTGTCCCGAAGAGCAATTCGTCCGCCATGTGGGCCAGACATCCACTCGTGCTCACCATGGCGCGTAACCAAAGCCAGCCGCTTGTCAATGACCGCCCGAGCCTGCTCGCGCTGCATCTTTTCCGCACGTAGACGGCGCTGACGCTCCGCTTCCCTCTGTACCTCCTTCGCCACGCGCTCTTGCTCCTTCTTGCGCTGCTTGGCATCCTCAGCGTTGTACGACTGGGGCGGCGGGCGCGGAAGATCGGCGGCAGGGGAGATCTCAGACAAGGATCGGCTGTCCGTACTGCTCGATTCCCGCCGTTTGAGGGAAGGTGGCGTGCTCGCTGACGCAACGCTCTCCTGTACCGGGGGAAGACTCTGCTGATGGTTTTTATCGCCATGCCCGAACATACCCAAGCCCCACCTGCTGTGCTTCTTGCCAAAGCTGAGCGAAGACAACTTGGAAAACTTGTTGCCCTGTACGTGGGAAGGTGTTGTGGTTTGCATCGGTTCTGGTTCCGCGGGCGGGCGGGAAGGGTACTCTTGCGCCATAGGAGATGTCTGTATATCCATTGGATGGTGTGAGGCCGTGACGTATTGCGCTGGAGCGGAAGACTCGACCTGAGGAGACACATCCATAGCATCCCAGTCTGCAGCGTGTGCTTGGCCTTGCTGCAGCCAGCCATTAACACGATCGGTACCATCCGCATACATGCGACCGTCCCGTGGCGAATAGACAACATCACCAGAGTACTCCGAGGGCTGCCGTGAAGACTCGGAAAGTGAATGCGAGTGTGCCGAAGCAAAACCTGAATCATAGAAAGACGATCGGTGGGTCGATGAGGCACCTGGTATATGCGTGGCGGGAATCTGGATAGTAGGCGGGTGCATCTTCGGGTTCCCGTTAGGGTGTGAATGCGACGGAGGTATGCTCCGCGGCGCGATCGATGGAAGAGAGACATTGGAGTTTGTATTCGAATGAATGCCGTTGACAATGCCTCTGCGCGCTTCCACCCTGCAGGGTAGCGCTCCCTGGGTTTGCGGCGGCTGTGCAGGAGGACCAGGCGGATCATTGAGAGAGGTCGTCTGCTGCAAGTAGGGATGCTCTATGCACTGCTGACTTGTCAATCGAATGTCCGGATCGTACTTGAGCAAGTCGACAATGCAGTCTACGAGAGAAAGTGGAACATTGCGCTCGAAGAGCGAGTATATGTCCCTGGGAGGAGCCTAAAGTCATTCGTACGATGAGCTGTATCATCTAAAAGGTAAGTTGAGATCACCTTACCTTCGGGAACTGAAAGCCTATGTTTCTCGCCATCCGTACACCTCTCGGCCATTGCCCACCGCCGTGAGGCTTACCTCGCTGGTTCATGCCATAGTCTTCTACAGGATCTCCTAGCAGCTCGCAAATCCTGGCGACCTGGTCTATCTCCGTCTGCCCCGGGAAAAGAGGTCGAAGATTGACCAGCTCCGCCATAATCGTGCCTAACGCCCACATATCCACCGGGTTGGAATAGTCTCTGCTCTTCAGCAACACCTCCGGAGCACGATACCACCGTGTCGAGACGTATTCCGTATATGGTGGTGCGCTATTGGTCTCGCGCGCTAGACCGAAGTCCGCCAATTTGATGATCACCACAACGTCCTTCTCAGGAGGTGCATTTGGAGGGGCATCTGGAAAGACGGGGCGATAGTCGTACAGCCCCGTCGTAGTCACAAGGAGGTTCTCTGGTTTCATGTCGCGATGGAAGTAGCCCGATGAATGAATGTGGTGCAGGCCCTGCACGACTTGTCGGAAGATCGACGAGACGAGACCGCCGGCCAACGGTTTGCCTTTTCGCGTCTTGATTAACTGGTAGAGATTACCCTCCATGGACTCAAAGACGAAGTAGAGCTCCTTGGTCTCCGGTAGAAGGAAGAAGTCGTAAAGCGGAATAATATTAGGATGATATGGTATTGCGCGCAGAGACTGAAGGCGCCGAGGTTAGATCACCGATGCGTTCGGATGGCAAGCAAACATGACGCACCTCCAGCTCCTTGAGTCGCTTGCATTCGTCCCAACCACCTTCCCATCGCTTCTTCATTCTCTTCACAGCCACGAGCCGCTTCTCAGCGTACTCCGGCCGTGCACCTGCACCGCACTGCATAGCAGACACTGGTGTATTGGGCGGTAGCGTCCCGTGCCAATCGCACAACCAGACCGTACCAAAGGATCCATCTCCAATGACCTTGAGAGGGGTGTACGAACGAAGGGAATCTATGACGAGCGGATCAGTGGACCGTGGTAGCCGAGGACAACATCAAGCCTTTGGTGTGGTAAAGTGTGATTACTCACTGCTCTGCGAGCCGCCGACGACGAGCTGGTCGTTCTCGACGGTGACGGAGGGTATTCCGAGCACAGTGATGGTCTCCCTGGGAGGGTGCAGCGAAGGGTTGCGGTGCGTCTGAGACCCATTCTGCGAGGAGCCGTTCGACAGGATATTCTGACTATGTGGGACGTTGTTGGCATAGCCGTTCTGAAGGACATGTGTGGGATGGTGGGCCTGTTGGACATGGTGTTGTTGCATGATATGGTTCTGCGTCGCATCGCCCAGGATTGAGGAGTGAATTAGCGGCAGCTTGGCAAAAGCATTCGACGGAGGCAAGTAAAGTAGATATTAGGAGGCGACCGTCGACCTGCTACAATCTCGCTGTGCTGGCGGAGCGGCTGCTCGCTGTGGGCGATGGTGGGGGAAAGGAGAGGGATGGGGGACAAGACGGGGACGGCGAGCAGAAGGCAGAGGAGAGGCGAAGGGAAGCAAGCGTGACCGAGAGCGCGGAATCCTGAGTTTGTGCAACAACACACAAGCCGAGTTCGATCAAATAGACGCTTCCCAACACTTGCTCCCGGTCATTCCACAAAATTTCGCTCACAGTACAACGTTTCATGCTCAGGCTAGTCTGGTTCCGGGAGTCCTTGAAACTGAGGTATCCACCACAACAGCTCGCAATAATCTGTTCTCGGTCCCGCCAGTGCGCGATGGCACTGTTTGAGGGTTCAAACACGGTCAGATGGCTTGCCAGCTTCGACGGGTGGGAGAGGGTCGGCAAAGCTCGCGGAACTCCTGTTGGGATAAGCGGTCCATCGTCGCCCTCGAAAAGGCATGGTTCCAATCCCTTGTCGATCGGCATCCTGCGAATCTACACCAGCCCGGGCGACAGCATGACCAAGTCTGATCTTCGTTTCTGCTGCAGCTCGGGACAAACATGCTTTGCGGTTTCTCGTAGTCTTCTCGCCGGCTCACCCGATGTTGTACGAACCATCTCCAACAAGTTTCCAAGAGAGTATCTAGGCGATTTCGTTTGACGTCGTTTCCGTTGCCCCGCACACTCGTCGCCCAGATCCCGGTAGAACCGTTAAGCTAGCTGGACTTACCTGTTACGACAATGCTCGTTCGCACGCGGCACAACTGGCGGTCATACGAAACCTCCATCAGTGCACCTTCGCCAAGCATATCTTCATACGTGTCTCTCTTACGCATCCGATAGAGTACTGATCGGCCGTCAAAGAGCCTATCGACTGCTTGTCTGCCGCACTCTCATGACACCCTACGCGCGAAAGCAGCCTGACCGCTCGACACAGGACTTACACCCTACAGCACACCGGCTGTCTGGACAATCTCCGGCTTATGTGCGTTCCAAATCCCTTGGCCTGGAGCCGTCTCGAACGGCGATGTTGCACCGCCGCGCAGTTCGCCTCACCCAGCGTTTCTTCTACCGAACGTCAGCACCCACGCTAGAACAATGCTGTGCAGCACTAAGAGGCTGTCCGCGGCCGCCCACGAGAACGAGACTGAAATTGCTATGAGCGTTCGCCGGGAAGCTTACGAGCCCGACTATACTGAGCTGCTCGTGGTAGGCTCGTGCTATGCGCTTGTACAGACGAGATGTCTATGATTGGAAATATACGTTGTACATTGATGAACCTCACGTTACACGCCTTCTCGCCCACCTTTTCTCAATACGGCACCTCGTTGAACAGCTTTGAGACACTTTCCCCATTGTGGCTCCGTCTAATAACTTCTGCGAGGACGTTGCCAATGTCGACGACCTCGATCTTGGGGCATCTTGCAGCATTTTCCTCTTGAGGTAGTGTGTTCGTCACCACCAATTTCTCTAGGGTGCTCTCGGAGACGGTTTTCAATGCGTTGCCGCTAAGGATGCCATGAGTAACCAGGCCAATTACCCTTGCAGCGCCTGCCTCGGAAAGATGGGAGGCAGCAAGACAGAGAGTTCCACAGGTGTCGGCCATGTCGTCTACGAGGATAGCGACCTTGTCCTTCACGTGTCCAACGAGAATCATCCGCGAAACCTCATTGGCCTTCTTGCGCTCTTTGTGGAAGAGGGCGAAGTCGACTCCTAGACGATCTGCAATCGATGTTGCTCTAGAGACGGGAGGGATCACATGAGTAACAGCCCGAAGGCAGCGGAAAAAGTGCCGACGGCAACCTACCGCTTCGCACCTCCAGCATCGGGTGACACTATGACAACGTTTTGCAGATCAAAGTTGTTGCGGATATATTGGATGGCTGACGGCTCCGCGTACAGCTGGATGACGTAGCGATGCACGTGTATGAAAGGTCAGCAGACGAGATGAAAAGACCAGCCACTCACGCTAGAAGATGGAGCGGAACAGTGTGAACATTCGCCTCGATTTGACAAGGAGACGAGACTCACTTGTCCACTGGAACATCAAAGAAGCCCTGTATTTGCGACGCATGTAAGTCCATTGTCTACGCGCGCTGTCAGCATGCATGGTCTTCGGTCTTGAAGGGAAGGCAGAACTCACGATGACATGGTCACAGCCCGACTTCTGCAGCATGTTGGCCACAAGCTTAGCAGTGATGGGAGCCCGGCTCTTGTCTTTCTTATCCTGCCGCGCATACGGGAAAAGGGGGACTACGGCCGTGATTCTCTTTGCACTAGCGATCTTGCAGGCGTGAATCATTATGCAGAGCTCTATGAGCGAGGTATTGACCTGCCCGCAGCCCGTGTTGATGATGTAGACGTCATCTTCGCGCACTGACTCTATGATGCGTACATGGCTCTCGCCAATCCCACTTTTCGTCACTTCGGCGCGGCCGAGTGGGACACCAAGCCTAGGAGATCGAGTCAGTGCCGACCGCATAGCACAAAAGCAGGCCTTCAACGATACTACCTTCGAGCAATGATCTCTGCAAGCTCGGGGTGGCTGGTGCCTACGCAGCATGTATAAACCCTGAGTTCAGTCATGGCATCGGCAGCGAGTGCAAGCGTACATACCGGAGAAGATTTTTATTCCATTACCAGTGAACATTTCAGAGACAGTCCATAAAACAATAGGGTGAAATAAGGATAGGATGTGGGAGAGAATGGGAAGAAGAGGAGAGGAAGAAGAGCTGCCAGCGGGAGCGAAGGATATTTTACGAGCGCCCATCTTCTGATGCGGGCGCTACTACACAGTTGCGCATCTTCTGATGCGCCATCCAGTTTCACCGTAGCGCGCTTGTGTGGTGATGCGCTCACGTGTCGGGGCTCCGGGTTGGAGGGTTGCAAAATCGTGCAAAATTAAGTATTTAAAGTAAACTAGCGGCCTTCAAAAAGCTAAAATAAATATATTCAGTTACTCGATCGAGTAAAACTAGTCTGCGGCGAGCGAAGGTAGCGGCAGCGCGTCGACCGACGCTTGCGGCGCGCAAGGCGGGCGATCCCGATCTTGCGGTCTCGGACAACTCCGGTGGCGACCCGGGCGTGTACGGTGGCTAATGAAACAGCTACCATACGTCATACGGGCGTCCGTGCGCGACGCGCATCAAAGGTAGATGGCCACTCGAGCCGTGGGTGCGAGTCGTCTGTGCGGCTCAACGAGCTCGGTAAGAATTGGCCACATCAAGTCGTTAGCCACCCATGCTCCTACACAACGTGAACATCCTCTGCACCTGGCTAGGTCTCTCATGTGGATTCATCACGAGGTTTTTCGACGTTTGTCCCTTCGTAGAGCGCTGCAACGAGCTGTCGGCTAAGACTGCTGAACACAGCCGTCCCCTGGAACCTCAGGATTCCGGCCGTGTCGTTGCCTACCCACGGATAAATGTTGGCCTTCCGATGCTGTGTTTGCTGCATTGGAAAGTCAACTCTCAGAAAAACTCCTCGCTCCTCTGCCACCGGCAAAGGCGTGTTACTCCTCGCTGGAATCCGAAGCGTGCAAAGAGGCGCAGCGTTTATGGCTAGACGGCTGGTGGCGGGCGAACCAGTCCGGAGCAACGCAGAACTCCAATTTTGCAACATATGTCTCACCCGATGGCGACATCGAGGCATGCTATCTTAACACGACGCTGGGACATCCTTGTCGTTGGGGCAGTACTCCGATCATAGGTGTGGACACACGTAGCGTCGAAGACATTCAGTTTGCGGTAAATTTCGCAGCTGCTCATAACCTACGCGTCATTATAAAGAATACCGGGTTAGTACACGGTGCATTTGTGTCAGCAGAGCTAAAGCTCGCCTCGCTTCCGCAGGCACGATTATCTCGGCCGCAGCACGGCCCGCGGCGCATTTCTCATTTGGACGCACCATCTCAAGAATACGACGTTCCACTATAGGTTCAGACCCACTGGCGCGCCCGAGTACGTTGCCTACTACAATGGTACAGTGACTTTACTAGATTGCTGCGCTTGCTAGCTCAATCCTAGAACATCAGTGATAACGCTTGGCTCTGGTGTTCAGTGGCAGGAAGCATACAATGCTGCATTTGTCCATGGCAGAAGCATTGTAGGCGGTATCACTCCCGGTGGGACGGTCGGTGCTGCAGGCGGCTGGCTCCAAGGAGGCGGCCACGGCATTCTGGCCCCCCTTTCTGGTCTAGGTAAGTGCTCCTCGAAGTGACCCCTGTGCCATTTTTTTTTTACTCTGGTCAGGTGTTGACAATGCTGTCGAGATATCCATCGTTACCTCGGGTGGCAAGTACCTCGTTGTGAATGCGTACCATCACTCGGACCTTTTCTGGGCTCTGCGTGGAGGCGGTGGTGGAACATGGGGCGTCGTCGTTTCCGTGACATACCAGACGTACCCTTCTGTGCCTATCCTCTCCGGATTGTTCTCTGCATCCATCATTGCCTCGCCCTCAAATGCTTCGGCTACACCGAGCCCGACTCTCGGAAAGCTCTTCACGGAGCTCGTTCGCGTGACAACGGCCTGGGCCGATAGCGGCTGGTCCGGATACACGGAAATGTTTTCTATCGGCCCCGGCCACCACACTATTCGACTCGTGCACATTGCGCCAGCCACAGCTGGATGGGCAGCGGTGCCCGTCATGGAACGGTTCTACTCTTTCGCTCGACAGTTGGCGGCAAATTCGTCTGTGGAAGACGGCGGTGCACTTCACGTGGACCTGGCAGCAATCACCCCATTCCCGTCTTTCGGTGTATGGGAGAGAATGCTCTTCCATGGCGAGACCGAGATGCTCGGCGCGAATGTTGAGATTGGATCGAGGCTGCTTCCCCGAAACCTGCTAGTCAACAACCAAACCGAAGTCGCCGACACCGTGTTGGGTCTAGATCACGCATTCGTTGGATTCTTGTGAGCCGCGTTCTACTATGGAATTGCTTGGGTCCTTACCCTTCTCTAGCATTGTTGCGGGAGGTGCTGTCAGCAAAATAGACCCATCCACCACCGGTCTTAACCCAGCGTGGCGCGAAGCCTTGATTCACGTCGTATTCGGTTCCGGCTGGCCGGAAGGAGCTTCGGTCGACGCCATAAACGAGGTTCGTGCAAAAATTAAGAAAGGCGAGGCGGCGTTCCGCACATTGACGCCTCAAGGTGGCGCATACTTCAACGAGGTGAATAGTCTCAGGTGGCGAACACTCGACGCTAGGCCCTCACCTATTGAAACCACACCTACTAGGCGTCTCTATATGAAGCCGATTCTAAGTACGAGTTTTTCGGTTCGCACTACGATAAGCTCCGGGCTATCAAGAGGATTTATGACCCCATCGATCTCTTCGTCGTGCCAGGCGGAGTAGGTTCCGAGGAGTGGGACGCAGATCTTTACTGCCGTATCTGAACGCGTTCTATTGCGCGCAGACGCTCCTGACGTGCTTTGGAACGACAGCACTCCGCTTCAGAATTCAAGTGACATGCATGCAATACTCGGTCGCGGTAATCGACCGTACGAGGTTATTCGGTAAGTACATCAAGACGTTTCAGAAGGGGTACGTATGGTAGCTACAACCTATCGCCAGTAGCCAAAGACTATGTAGTTTATACAATGAACGTGTAGGGGCTGTATGTGGAAGGGGAGAGATTCAGACTGCTTGATGGATAGGCGTATCACCTATCACAACGGGGGAGCGCAAGGGGAAAAGAATGTAGGGTCTGTACTCACTCTTGAGACGGACGGAAAAGCACAAGACAGAGGACGCAGGCGATACAAGACGAGTGATGAGAGGAAGAAGTAAAGGGAAAACGAGAGATGATGAACAACTGAGAAAGCGACGACAACCAACGAGAGATAGTGGCACGAGTTCAAGCTACAATATAGTATGCTACGTTGTATGATAGAAGCGAGAATTAACGGAGTCCAACGTTGACGAACGCCCGATCGCTAGTGGGTACGCGTGGCGCAGCCGTGCCGTTGAGGATTGAAAGGAGATGGGCGTTGTTCGCGGGGTTGCCGCGTATAAGATTGAATGTCTGCGAGATGGCAGGCGCAGAGAGCGGGGCAGGTTCATTGTACTCGGTCGATGGCAGAAGTTGACCGGGGGGATCAAGGCGCAGGGATTGTTGGTTTAACGGCAAACGATTACCGGGGAAAGGTTGCGG